CAATGGCAAAAAATAACAGACTAGCCAAGCATCGTCTTACACTCGAACTTGGCCATTCGAAGAACATCAATAAAAATCCCATTGCTGAAAAAGCCGTACAAGAAGTGCAGGAAGAATTACTAAGACTTGCACCGGACAATCAGCCTGTTTCTCATGTCACATTATCAGTGGCCCTTGCTAATCTCAATTCACGACTACGCAAGAGGGGATTATCATCACGGGAAATGTGGACCCAAAGAGACATATTCACTAATCAACAAATTCCTATGGAAGACAGACACATGATTGAAAAACAATATGCTAGTCGACTCCAGAACCATAAGCCCAGCCAAAAGTCAAAATGCCGTAACCCTATTCCTATATCTCCCATGATTCGTGTAGGTGATCTTGTATATTTATATGCTGACCGCAAAAAAACTAAAGCCCGGGACAGGTACTTGGTTGTGTCTGTCAATGGTGACTGGTGTAATATAAAAAAATTCATTGGTAATCAGCTTCGAGCCAATTCGTACAAAGTTCGAAAGTCTGATTGTTTTTTAGTTTCACCCACATTACCTTCCCCTTCCCAAGTTATACCAGATACCACAATCAATGACGAGAACTCTGAGGATTTCTATCCTCCGCTACTACCAAGCTCATTTGTAGATTTACTCCCCCAATTACCTACTGCGAATGTTCCCCCTCCTGGACCACCAGAATTATTTTTGCAAGATGGCCCAGCACCACAATCTCGCTACCCCCGTCGTGAGCATCGTAAGCCTTCATATTTGAGTGATTACATTTTAGAATAAGCCCGGTTTTGCATTTGTTTTGATTACAATTTCGTTTACTATGGCATTCGGTTTTTAAGTGACCTATACTTTCTCGTCATTCTACTAAGTTTTAGTAATGTTTTTCATAGTAATACCCATTATGGGAGCGAAGGAGAGAAGGAGGGATGCGCCAGTTATATAATAACGAGTGTTTGTCCTTTATTGTGTGATAATAAGTGTTTGTACTGCCGACGCATCTGAAGCGTCGACTGATTACGATATGCCTCGCTGATTTCGTTTTCCTCGTATTATTTCTCTCGCGCAATAGCGCGTGTTATCGTGGATAATAAATTCATTCCTGTTTTGGATTTCATACAAGACGTTGCTTGTTTTTCTGTGTAAGGTCTTTGGCATTGTAAGATAATTACGACCAATTACTGGCGAAGTGTGAAAGAGAATTTTCTGTCATTTTTTCCTCATTTTGATCTCGCGTTTTTGCTGTTGTTAATAAGTTCGCCCCCAAGATAACCTTTGACTCTAGGGCTTAATTTTGGCTCTAGGTAAATGGTGTAACCTTGCGATATAATATAACCAGGGGCGGATTATGCCCTTTTAGTTCCCTAAGCACTGAAGACTTTGGTGCCCCCTTATGTGTAATATCGGCAAACACACAACATCGGGCCGATATAACAGTTAAGCTCTAATCCTGAAGGAGTGTGACAATAATGATTCATGCCTCCAGTCTCAACGGGAATTGAAATACCAAAGCATACAAGTCACAACTGTAGTTTGCAATTTTATCGGTACCTAGCAGTCTACCTCAGGGTGGTTCAAGGTTGAAGGACCGCATGAACTTTTGAAGAGGTCTCGCGGGCGCAAGTCAGAGAAAACCCAAAAGTGATCGAAATATCGCGAGTTTACTTACCTTTAATTTAATAAACAACGAGAGTTTACCGTTCTAATCAGACGATCATTATGTTGTACAGGGGGTGTTCTTTTAAAGAAGATATATTAAGCCTTCAGTTATTTAAAAATTAATTCCCTAAAATTAACGTTGTATTTTCCGCATCTCGCGTTTGATGTCGCTTCAAATTATATTCTTTCGTGACAGATATTACTTGAAATCAAACCAGACACTGTGTGATGGGCAAGGAAATACCCGCCGTGTTTTCCTTATGTCACTTTTTTGTGACAATCATTTTATTACGAATAACCAACAAGTCCGTCTAAGTTGGTATTTTGGGACCTTGCTGAATAAACTGGATTGCGCGGCCTTAAGTCGGCTCTGCGTTTCGTCACTACTGTCACATGGCCTACGCTTGAAAACAGATGAGTGTTTTTACTAAAATAAGGCACAAAGCGTTAGAAAAAGGGGTTTGAATCTCGGGATTCCAACCCCAGTTGGAATATCTGAAAAAACTCAAAAACGCTCTGCTATTATATACAAATATACGCTAAAATTGTTCTGTGGGCCGCACGGGATGTATCAGCATGACAGGGTTTGGACCACCCTGGTCCACCTTATCAAAAAACAGAAGAGTGTTTTTACTAAAATAAGGCACAAAGCGTTAGAAAAAGGGGTTTGAATCTCGGGATTCCAACCCTAGTTGGAATATCTGAAAAAACTCAAAAACGCTCTGCTATTAGATACAGATTTACGCTAAAATTGTTCTGTGGGCCGCACGGGATGTATCAGCATGGCAGGGTTTGGACCACCCTGGTCTACCTTATCAAAAAACTCCCGACTTCACTAACCACTAGATCGTTGAAATGCGATCGTGGAACCGCCACATAGTACAAATAGTTCATTGGTCCAATTGTCGAAGAGAAAATATTTTTTTTTAAAACAAAAATGCAGCAACAAGGAGAATACTGGGAAGAAAAAACAATGAAAATTTGAGAAAACGACTCATTGGCCCATTTTGTGTCCAATTAATAGGTTTCAGTGTTTATTTTTGATAAAGAAGGACAATATGATACTTGAAGACGAAAAATAAGCGAACATTTTGAAATTTGAGTCGTGTGGTGAACTTGTAATATTTTAAATAAACTCCGATGAACTATATAAAATTCTGCTATAAAAATTTCTGTGGTGCCCTCTTTACTTGGTGCCCTAAGCACGTCCTTGTATTGTTTAATGTTTAATCCGGCGCTGGATATAACACATAAAAGCTGTTCTACGAACAAAGATAGAACTGCGTAATCGAAATAATTCGATATTTTTTCAAAATTTCAATTTTTCCATAATTCAACATTTTCGAACCTCAAAAAGTTCGAAACTTGTCGGATGTCACTGCAATTTTGTTGTTGAAATATGTTCTTATATTAGTCCTCTATTAAATGGTTAATTCATCTTTCAGCCTCCGGGACCGGAAAAGCTCCAAAAATTCGATAATCTTACCAAAAGTTCCAATTTTTACAAAATTGCCAATATTCAAACTCCTAAATGTTCCAAAATCACAGATAATTAGGACAATTATTTTGTTGCTATAAGTTTTCATATTAAACCTCTATTCAATGGTTTATTCATATTTTTGCCCCCGGGACCGGAAAAGATGAAAAACATCGATTATCTTTAATGAACATACAGCATCGATGTGTGACAAGGTAAGGAGAAAATTGTGGCATTATTAGGTCAATTTAGTTGAAATACAAAACTCTTTCAATATGTTAACATCTACATTGTTTATAAAATTGAAAAATATGTTTGGTGTTATTTATGGCCAAGTCAAAACGTGCTTCTACTGTTCTGCTATGGTGAAATCGAATCTATGAAGTATTTGCTTTTCTTCGAATGTGTCGTGGTGCTGCCTTTATTGGCGGTTTCCGAGAAATCGCCACTTTAAATGATAATTTTTTTAAATTTTGAAAAAATCCACGAGGTGCGTAAAATGTTTTTTGTTATTTTATACTTTCCGTCATTTATTCTAATACTACTAGACGCACAGTATTTTTGTCTGACAAAAATAAAAAGATATTTGATCAATTATTCAGCAAATTTAGTTGGAGCACAAAGTTTTTTTAATTTGTTACGTCCACCTTGTTCATAAAATTGAAGAATATACGGTATGTTTGGTATTATATATGGCCAAGTCAAAACGTGCTTCTACTGTTCTGCCATAATGAAATCGAATCTATAAGATTTTTGATTTTTCCCCATTGTGTTGTGTCGAATGTGTCGGGGTGATGCTGCCTTTATTGGAGGTTTTCGTGAAATGAACGTCTTATTAGACGGAAATTCAGTCATTTATTGGAGGTTTTCGTGAAATGAACGTCTTATTAGACGGAAATTCAGTCATTTTAAACAACTCCCAAGGCATGTAATTCTGTAATGTACTGTTACAGTCGTTTTAGCTTGTTTATTTACTATATACTAACAAGATGAGCAGTGTAGTTAAATGATTGTTTTGCTGCATTTGTTATTGTGAAATAATCAAAATATACACTTTCTTTCTAAAATGATTGGGAGCATTTGTTTTTACGCGTTGGTATTTTTGCGATTTTTGCTGCTAGCTTTACAGAGGTACACGGTTCAAAAGTTCTTCGGTGTTGTGACTTGTCGCTCGAGGCGCAATTCTCACCACTTCATGGCAGCTCCTGTCACAAACGTACCATGCCGTCTCCGGCCATGGTTTTATGGCGCTATAACCGGTATATTTACAAATTCATATACCATATTTTAGTTTATCATGCGGATTAATCTACTTAAACCGTAGTAGTATATATTCACGCTTAAACCCTAACCCCACTTCCATCCAACTGTATCCATAAGAAAAACGTTCCAACCATTGGTTCCAACTCACCTAATATCAGCGCGGCGCGGCGGTGTGGCTCAACGGGCTAAGCGTTAGGAATACGCTCGCCACCGCACCTCTAATTACTCTGCGTGGGTTCGCAGGTTCGAATCCCATGCAGGGATGGTTATGTGCGAGAGGATTGCTGGACTCCTCGCCGTCGTTGGGTGGTTCACGTAACCGCTGGTCGGTTACGGCTTCCTCCACCACCAAGTCCATGCTTCCGAAAAACAAACAATACAGTAAAACTAATCCCATACCCGACTTGGAATGGTAACCGGACGAGAGGCCGTGGTTCGCCATATGGATAAGCCGTCTTATCGGCTTTCCTCTCCCCCGGGATAAATATGTAAATCCTATCCTATCAATCACCATCGACAGATCAGGGGCAGCCCTGCTATCATTGATGACTTAACAAGGTATCAATGCTGCTATTACAGCCGACCCCTGCTGTGGTACGGCAGCAAAATTGGTGGTATTCGATTTGCTGCCGTAACGACGGCAGCTCGCTATTGGTTTGTGGCAGCTAAAAAGTCAGTCGCCGTGTGTTTGGTCTTAGCAGCCGTGGTTGTGAAATCCCGCAATGGTTTTGCGGCAGCTCCAGACGCCACAAAATACTTGAAACTGTACTTGTTTCGCTCTGTCGCTACGTAATCATTGCATTCATTTGCATGATAAGGCAACGACCTTCATTTATGCTAACAGTTACCGCTGTATTTAAAATTCAAAATGACAGGACTGTGGGAAGACAGAGATATTAGATTTGATGTTAGCATGCAGTGAGTTATTTTATTTTAAACATCAATAAATTAATATCTAATTCTGTAATTAATTAGCCTAGGCTACTTGTTATTATTTTCATTATTCTGATGACTGTTATTTGGTTTTGGTTGACGAAAAAATAAATCTTTCTCTCTCTATCTAAATCCACCCTATAGATACTGAGGTAACTAACTTATATCTAAACAGCAGTATACAGGTATATAAGATTTATTCATTTATATTCAGATATTAGCAAATGTCTGAATGTGAAATTTGCCATATCAAAACTCTTGCTCAAATTGCAGAAAAAAATTGATTTTTATTTGTGAAAATAACTGAATAATAGACTACCGGTATACAGGTATATGTGAGTTGTTGCATCTGAAACAAATAAATAGTCAACTACTCCAGTACATACTTCCATATACCGGTATGACATGAACTGGTACCGGTAACAAAACGAGAGTTTGTGTCTTGCTAAAGAATTAAGCCATCTCATCCCTTTTCGGGTGTAGTGTAGTTTCGTATCTAAAGAACTTCTGGTGGGCGTAGCATAACAATGTCAATCCTAACCCCCACCTGACTGCGTCATCTGAAAATTATGTCACTACTGTGACACAGTGGCGTAATAAGGCCTTTAAACTATACAAACTGTCATCCAAGACGCGCAAACTATTTCTCCCATTTTCCTTTCACGTCGCAACAATCCCATTATGCTACACCCACTAGAAGTACGTAAGGTACCAAACAACACGAGACCCCATTTTTTCTTACTCCTGGGATAAATAAGATGCTAATCCTATCTTATGTTCGCACTTTGTAAGAAATGCCAGTTATTGGATATACGAAAAAAATGTTGTGGTTTACGCCTTTTAATTTTTATTATTGCTTCCATACTCACAGACAAATGAAAATGAGACCCGGTGAAGTTCTGATTGAAATATTCCCAAGTGTTGAAGATGCAAAAGGCAACAGTGGGGAGAGAGGAAAACTTCTTGTTACTAATTTGAGATTAATCTGGCATTCTGTTACTTTACCCCGAGTTAATTTATGTGAGTATATTGAAGAAAGAAATGCAGTTTGATCTTATACATGTTTTTCAAAATTTTCACATTTAATGTAAAATGAGCCTAAGATGTTTTCACTGATTATTCTCAATTGTAACAATAATGTTCATAAAACATATTATAGTTGTATTTTGTTGATATTCTAATTGGTCTTTAATAAATCAATTTAATAATATTTGGAATTTTTGTGTGGTGACTTCACTTCATTGATGTTGATGGTGCTCATGGAATGTTTAAATTAATTGAAATTGAAATTTTTTTGGTAACTAATTTTGGTTTACTAAACTAAAACTAATATGTTTTATTTTATATTTCCAAATTTCATACAGAATATATTAGTAATTTAATTTTGATTGTTTTATATTCATTTATTTTGTTGTCAATCCATCTTTATTCCTTATTCAGCCATCGGATACAATTGTATGCAAAATGTGACTTCCCGAAAAACGTCATCAGTAAGTATTCTAAGTGGATGCTAAGCTAAAATAGTATTTCACATATAATTTGATCTTGTTAATCAACAAGACAGAATTTATCATTTTTCGTTTGTATATATAAGATGACAGAACTAGGAAATGTTGCAAAGTAATTTAGGTATATATAGAAATGTTTCATTTATTTGATTTATAAGTATGTGATAAACAGTGAAGACTGAGAGATGGATATTGATATGTTGCATGGTTATATTTAAATAACTCGAAGTAATAACCTCAACCTTTTTACTTGATGGATTCAATCACATAGGATAAGTGAAATGAGAAGTAATGTTTTTACACTGGTTATAATTCATTATAATTAGTATTTTAGTATTGTAATCATTTATCAAATTCATTTACAGAAACTTCGAGGCCCAACAGAAGCATTGTTCATTCCTGCTAAAAGTTCAACCAAATATGAATTTGTTTTTACGACTGATTCTAATAACACATCAAAGATGTTAACAACAGTAATATCTATATATAAGTAAGAAGATTTTTGGATTGTTTGCTTTAGTGCAGTGGTTCTCAACCTGTGGTACGCATAAGCTTTTCAAGTGGTACGCGAGCAGATTTGAATTATTGCAACAATTAACCTTTCAGTTTGCTGAAATATGCCGGCAACGCTTTATATTTCTTACTGTATGTATTCGCTGAACAGCGTTTATGTATGTTTCCCCAAGCATCAGTACCTTGTTAATTTCCGTAACTATAACCAATCAGCAATAAGTCAATAATTATGCAACACGTAACAATTGCAATTTCTGCACTCAGCCGCTCAGACACTTCTGTCGCTCAAACAGATATTCAAGCATGGTTGCAAACATTGCCTCGGTTTTGTAGTTTTGAGTGACATTTGTCAGTTTTCAGTTGTGTTTCAAGAAAATAATAGTGAATTAATTAACTTAATTGTCATTATGTCTTCCGCGGAGCTTTACTTTAGTTGCAGTGATCGAAATTGAATCTCGCAAATGCTGCGATGGACAAGGCTAAACTTAGCTATATCAGTACCTGCAAATGGCACATGGTTGATTAAGTTTAATGAAAATTATGGTTTCAAACACATAAACCAGTTTATATGCGCCAACATACCAAAACACTCTCAGAATAAGCATAAAGTTCACAATAGTAAAGTATAAGAGTAATTTTTCCGGAGTCAATGGTCGAGGAAACGTCCATAGCACTGGTGCGCTATCGGTCCTTGTCTTTAGAGACTGCCCTCGCCCGAATTGCCCACCTTAAATGAAGCGATATGGTCATGTTTTTGTTCGTTTTGCGTGTTACGCCACAAAGGATGTAGTGCCACATAAAATACACACATAGCATGTTTCTTGTGTCTTTTTCCCCACTCCAAAAAAGGAGCTTTGTCGGTGGTACGCAGCCATAGTAAAAACAGTAAAGTGGTACGCGGTCAGTAAAAGTTTGAGAACCACTGCTTTAGTGAATATAAATTTGTGATCTAAACATTTTTGATAAAGTTTGTGACAAACTCATAATTCTGGATTAATGAGGAAGAATAGAATGATATTGTTTATTCCAAATGAAAGGATGGTTTGATAATAAAAATTTTTTTATGCAAACTGAATTCTGTGGTTGATGATTACTATTTCCTGGAGCTTGGTTGTCTTTACTTTCAAATCTACAATGCTATTGGCATTAAACGCATCTATTACAGTTGTTTCATTTCGATTCAACATTAGTAAATAGGCGTGTTAAGTGTATCATATTAATAAAATTGATCTCATTTTTGTGAATTTCAGAGCTTATGAAACTTCAAAATTATATAGAGATTTAAAGCTGCGAGGAGCTTTGATAGAAAATAAGCAATTAAGGATGTTACCCGAGGTAAGTAATCGTGTGATAGTATCTGTTGCTGAGTGACTTTCCTGAGATTATTTGTAAGTAGATGTTAAGAATACAAACAAACTCATTGCAGTAGGATATTTATATTTATCTCGGAGGAGAAGAAAGCAAACTCAATCATATGCCTTACCACGACCCTCTCACTCGTTTAATAGTCCATGTCAGGTATGGGATTAGTTGGCCACTTTTATTTCAGATGCATGACTTGATGGTGGAGGAAGCTGTAACTAACCAGCGGTTATGTGAACCACCCTACGGTGGCGTGTGTCCAGTTATCTTCTCGCACATAATTATCTTCCACTGAATTGGAACCAGCAAATGCAGGGTAATCAGAGATGTGATAGCAAGAGTATTCCAAACACTTTGTATGTATGATTGCCAGCCACCTGGCTGACTGTTATTTTAGGAACACAACAATTGTTCATCTTATATATTTTTGGAATTTTCAGGAGCAAGTATACAATACTGTGAATGGTGCGTGGAATTTGTCAAGTGACCAAGGAAATCTAGGAACCTTTTTCATTACAAATATTCGAGTAGTTTGGGTTGCAAATATGAATGAAAGTTTTAATGTCAGCATTCCATATCTTCAAATTGTGAGTACCTTCGATTTCATTTAACAGGGAATCTGGATCCTGGGGATTTTTGAATCAAAGTTACATTTTCCGTATCCTGAACCTCCATTCGGTCAATGTCCTTTTCTGTAACCACATTCAAGATTACCAATCCAAAAGCAACTTTTGTAAAGTTAGCTTGTGTACTAATTAAGTTCATTGCAGCAATTTAATATTTATCCTGAGGAAGAGGGAAACAGATGAGACAGCTCAATGATATGGCGTACCAAGGCCTGTTGTCCATGTAGTATTGAAGTAGTTGCCAGTTATTTGTTTCAGATCCATGGACTTGATGGTGGACTTACGATTACATGAACAACTCTACGGCAGGAAATAGTTGAGCAATTATCTCACACATACCGTAATTAATCCCCCCCAGTCATTTGAACCAACGAACCCATACATGGTAATCAGTGGTGGGATGGCAAGCGTATTACTCTACCTGGATCCTTAATCTTCCTATCAGTTCATAATTTGAGAACTATTCTTTACAGTCCAATATCAAGATACGAGACTCAAAGTTTGGTTATGCGATGGTGATCGAGACATCGTGGCAAAGTGGGAACTACGTTCTCGGTTTTCGTATCGATCCACTTGAAAAATTACAGCAATCTGCAAAAGAAATTCAGAGTTTGCATAAAGTTTATTCAGCAAGTCCAATATTCGGAGTCAGCTTTCAGAGATCAGAGGATCTTGTAAGTAAAATAAATTTTTACTTTAGGTAAGATTATAGATATTGTCGTTTTGTATTTCTGCATAATAGGTTGGTTTTGGTTTGAACTTTTGTAATATTTCGTGTCTTTAATGATTCACAGAGGTAAATTCATCCATACATATTGCTGCATTTATCGTTCAACATTTCCCCATGATAGTCCATGCATCTGGACCATTCCCATATCCTAACCTGAAATATCATCGGACAAAAGACAAAGGTTTGCCATGTGATTTGGCCGCCTTATTGGCTTCATTCTAATAAATATGAAAACCAATTACCTACTTCTATTCAAAAACAGAAATTTCTATATTTATAAATGGGTTTGTTGAATTTATCATACCTTTATAAGGTGGATTAACTGTATGCAGGACTGTGGATATCATCTGCTGCCTCTCAAGTTTGGATATGGCAAGCAGATACTGATTCTTGATGCATGAACTGCAAACCGTAATATAACTACTATCCACCACCTGTTTTATTTAAACATGCATGTAGGATAATCAGAAACCGAAATTACTACTGCACTGACTCTTAGAATGTATGCCAAGAAAATCAGCGAAAGATAGGTAATGAATTGAAGGGTCAGGACATTGAGAACTTGGTTGTCAACTCCTCCCAAGACATCCCAGTTTGTAGTTAACGCATAAAAATTCACTGTGCCAAATTTTTATGTGCTAATCATAGTTTAAATATATTTTATCTAATCACAGGGAGATGAAAGTGAAGAAATGTATGCAACAATACAACAGCCTGTCATGGAAGATGCAGAAATAGATACAACTATCCAATCAGATGCTTGTGTAGCATATTATGCTGATGGTGTAACTGGTGAAGAAAATCATGAACCACCTGTATTCTCTGAAGAACTTGGTCTTGCTATTGAGCCTTTAAAACCTGGATACACAATAGAAAGCTTATGGAAAGTTTTGTAATCACTTAGTCAGAGTTGCTAATGTTGAACGAAGTGTTCAGCCTAGTCGGTGGCTTAAATTTTTTTGGTACAAGCCAAATTGTGTTTGCTGAGTTTTGCTATTAGTATATTAGATTTTAATCTATAAATAATTTGAAACACCATGTTCTAAGCCTTTTCTTTGAGAACAACTACTACTAGATATTTAACGCACTTCTCGCAACAAACTTGATTGCTGAATTATGCAATCTATACAAATGAAATAGAATATTTTTGCAGACCATTTTCGAATTGTGCTGCTGAGTCCTAGTCCATCTATTGATAAGGGATTATAGACAGGTAATGATTGGGCTTTTAGTGTTAAGGAATCACAAGCTAAATTTAGAACTACTTCTTCAAATATGTTTGCATGTCGAATAAGTATATTTTAAAAAAAAGGTCGTTTGCCTCTATTGCACTTATTTATTGCACATTTACATAGGTGTTGTCTGTAACTGAAAAAAGAACTTAATTTTTGTGTAGGTGTAATAAAAAATTTTGTGGGTGATCTGATGCAACTCGCATTTCAGTGCTGTTAAATGCTATGAAAAAACGTTTGGTGTGATTTCGTGGGGGAATATCTTTACCGCTTGTTACAGCTCATTGTTCATAAATCTTTTAAAATGTACATTGTATTACTCTATCACAAACACACACTGTTTCCTTTAGTTCAATTCATATACTTAGTGTCTACTTTAATCGTGTACATTGTTGATATATATTTTTAGAATAAACTTCTGTCCGTAGCAACAATTGTTTGAAATTTGTTTGGAACCTCTTGCAAAACAAGTAGGAGTATATATGGAATTTACTTCTATGTATTGAGAATTGCCGCCCTATCCGGTAAGTTGAGGCGTTTGCTGACTAATGAAATGGCGATCAGTTAATTTTTAATGATGTAAGATTGAATCTAACTTAATTTTCTATGATCAGGCATCAGATTGTACAAAAAGTCATTTATTCACAAAAGTGCAGAATATCTGAAAAATAGTAAACAAATCCATGTAATCTGTGGTAAATCGATCACATATCACCTTTATCGATTTACGCAAAATATTATACAAAAAATATACGATCGTGCGTTTTGTAGGAAAGATAGACCTGCCTAAAACCTGTTTCGGGTCGAAAAATATAATACCGGATGTTAATAAATTAAAAAGTCGATGCAAAATAGTTTCACATCAGAGAACCCTAGTTCCCTTTTTGCATGCGTTCACATGTTTTTAAGGTGTGGACATTCTTGTTGGCTCTTCTGATAGGAGTTTTTGCAATTATAAATTTTTCAATCGTTTGGTTTTAATTCTTATTGCAGGCTTACAAGGCTATTGTAACTCATTTCCTGGAAAAACAAAGTATCTAGCGCTACTTTTAGCGCTATGTCTACTGCCATATGTAGCATACACAGGTGCAACAAATAAAGTGTTTATCCCTAAAATAAATGTATGGAAATGTGTGATGTCCACGAGGGAGGGATAATACAGCGGTAGACCTCACGCTAAAGTATTTATATATATATATTTTTGGATGATGAATGAATGCTTTGACAAATGGAAATGTATCGCAATCGTTTTTTGGATTCGTTATTAACGGAGACAGTTTGACAGCCCAAAAAATATTATCTCAATTGTCATTTTGGGTTGTAATTATGTGAAGTAATTTACAAACAGCTCTAAGTGATCCTCGATTTTGTCCAAGATAAATTTTTATGGCGGCAATCATGTTGCGACGATTGTCTTCGCCAATATTTTTTAGTCCATCCAATTCCATTCGCCAGAAATCTTGAGTCGTGCGCGAGAACTCCTCCGCGCTCTTTCGTTTCTGGTCCAACCTATAAATTCTCTCCGCCATTTCTTTTCTGTAAAAGTTAACAGTAGATCAAGAAGAGAATAAATAATATTGCAAAATAATTATGGAAGACTTTTACATAGTGTGAGAGGGTAACTAGCTGTTCTAGTCGTGGCGCATAGCTGGCGTTCTAGTATGAAAACAATTTACGAATGGCTTCGCGGAACAACCTGCGTCGGCGTCCAGCACATACCAAAGATCATACCACACGTGGCCAACCACCGGTGATTTGAGGATCCGAATAAATACGGAATGTACTTAAGTATAAGTGATAACACTCTGGAGCATGGTGGAACGACATTGAAATATATTTTTACTTCATTCGTTGGCCACGAAGTATACTGATGGTTCTTCTTGCTAAATTGTTGTTGTTTTTATTAGTCTTGTTGGAATAGCCTACTTAGTTTGTTGATATAAAAAAAAAAATCGAATTCAAACTTAAACGGCATATAACAACACTCTTTCCGACTTTCAATAATTTTGAATATCATACAACAACCAAAATTAAACTCAAATAATTTATTTCAAACTAATACAATATAGTAGTACCTCAACGCTGGTACATCGCTGTAGTACATTCTTCTTCCGCTCGCTGTTCTCGGTTGTGGCAAGTGTACAAATGGAAGTTTGGGTAGGTGGGTACTACCTTCACGAGGTGGCCGTACAAACTTCTTTTCTTCGGGTTTCGATGCAGCGTATTCTCTGAATAAAAGTATGCCAAACAATTTAACCATTAACACTCCAAACAAGGCTGTGAAATTGTATCCCCGCGAAAGTATGACTGCCAGAGTCATTTTTCATGTTTTGGAGTAGTGTATCCTTAACCTATTGCTTGATCTATCATCTTATTCATTAGATTGTTGATTTTACTCGTTAAACTCGGTAAAATGTTGATGAAGAGACCTAGTTGGAAAGTATAGAGCATTTAACGAAACACCGCGATGAATATAAGGCAATGCAAAGCGTTTCTTGACAGAATGCAATAAAGTTTATTTTTAATTTCATAACAAGACTTTGCTATTTATAATTTGTAATTTTTTCAATTTTGTGTGCAACATCCTTTCGTTAACCTTTATGTTATTTTCTACCATTGCACAATAATATTTCTGATATTCAGTTTCTTATAATAATATTAAACCTACACTTCTACAGTACTTCCAACGGTTGCGGCAAGAGCCTTGCCCTCAACTTCACTCGTCATGATATTACGCTATACGTATTCCGTAGAGTAATCAGCGGCTTGCTGCTTTTCACAAGCAATAGTTATCTTTAGCAAATAATCTGTAAAAAATCAAGATTAATTAAAAAAAACTAGTTTTCGCGTTTCTTGAAACAAGGAGAGACGATTTTATTGATGGCCTGTTGCAATAGAAAGTTTGTCATATTATTGAGCTGACATTCTTTTCCTCCAGGATGTATATGAAATATTTTACCATAATGACAACGACGAAACTAACTTAACGACCCCCATAGCAGGGGTTTCTCAATGTTGCAATTTGCGCAACAATGTTGCAATTTGCAAAGTGATGCGCAACATTGATTAAATAGTATTTAAGATATTGTAGCCTATATTAAAATCAGTAAATTAAAGTAATCGTATTCGTTTTAATACAGTATCACACATAGTTGAATTTAGTTTCTAGTTATACGTCTAACACTCAATGACTATACCAATGTAAATATTGTTACACTATGGGAATAAAATTAGGACTGGTTTGTGCGAGAGACAAAAAGAGATCGAACTCGCTGTGTTCCAGTATAAAACTTTTTTACACTTTTCTTTGAAAAACGACGGCATAGTACATCTAACTGCTTGCACTAATAGTATCACACTCTCCGGCTCCTGCATTGATCTCCAAAACATTTTGCATCAAAATATTCATCATATCGACTATAGCTTAGTTACACGGATTCGTAGGCGGGTCCTCAGCCATCTAGGGGCATTGTAATCTGATGGGTATCACTTTACTCCCTTCATTATAACAAACACAAGAAGCAAGTCACTCTTATTATTTGTGTGTACTCTATAATAGATTTATATTATTTCAAAGGCATTTAAACCATTGTTGGTCCAGTATCGTTTACAATGTATTCTAAACAGACATTGTACAAATGCCAATTGGCGTCCTTTGTTCTGTTCATGACATCATTCATTTGGATAATGAAGGCCCGTTGATAACTCGAGAAAGAAAGCAGGCATTTCTATAAAACTTGCATGTTCATTAGTGAGATGCGCTCTTTCCCGGATGGTTTGAAAATTTAATTTTGTAGAATTGAGTTGATGTATAAAAAGATGTGTTCGAAATATGTTAACATGAATCCAACCATTCAAACGCAAAAATAAACATCTTCAGTACATCGATTGTTCTGTTTCCATTATGCGTAATGAATAAACTAGTGATATTAGTATACTAATCGTATTAATAATTAACAGTCACAGATGTATGTATCCACAGGAATCTAGGAATATGATACAAATATTCGTTTTTTTTTAATTCCTACGGGGCCCGTATTTTACCGAAAAGTTCGTGCTAAGTGTTAGGAAATAGGAATACGCTCGCCACCGCACCTCTGAATACTCGGCGTGGGTTAGCAGGTTCAAATCCCATGCGGGGATAGTTACCGTTTGTTCGGGAGGATTGCTGGACTCCTCGCCGCCGTTGTGGTGGTTTACGTAACCGCTGGTTGGTTACGGCTTCCTCCACCATCAAGTCCATCCTTCCGAAAAACAAATAACTGACGAATCCCATACCCGTCAAGAAATGGTAACCGGGCGAGAGACCGTGGTTCGCCATATGGTTAATCTGTCAAACATACATCCAGGTGTTTTTATCAATATCTACATGTTTTTAGGAAATTTTTTAAAGCACACAGGCAGGCACATAAATAAATGATATCGATTACGGGTAACCAATAAAGTGCCAGGAGCTACGTTTAAACTTAATCAAATCACTAGCTACGAGCCATGAGGTAATGAATTGAATTTCTGGTGAAATTATCTGAATGAAATTCTACTAATTTACAAGCGTCAAATACAAGATTGTTAAGGACATGTTTCGGGCATTTGAAATTTTGTTTTTTCCTCTTGGCGTTAAAAAACCTGACGATCCCTGTTATAAATTAATTATCATGCAAAACATAATAATAAATTTATCTTATGTCAGGTCGATATGTTGAACTCATTTGGCGTTTTCATAAAATTAAGTTACGTAATAAAAATTTGTCTGCTGAAGCGCAATGAAATTAATAGTGTAATTTATTCTATTGATTTTTGTTTTGTTGCGCGGAGTACAAACCAGAGGCATTATTGAACACGTTAGTGGACATAACGATCGTTTTAATATTATGTTGTTGTTCTTGTCCTTCGACACGTTTTCAAAAAGTCGCTTTTCTCTTTGATTACTGGACTAATTCCTATGAGATTTTCAGTGGTTAAAGTTAAAAATTGTCGTTAGAAGGCTATTACTTTCATTTATTTTAAACGTGTCCATATATTTGAGCATAGCTCTCTTGTTCTTTGTACCAGAAAAAAATCGCATTTCTCTTTGATTACTGGACCAATCGCTTTGAAATTTTCAGTGCTCGATGATTAAATTTTTCGCTAGAAGGCTATTACTTTTATTTATTTCAAATATTCCGGTGAATTGTATGGGATCCGTGTGTTGTGACGTCATCGTCAGAATAAAAATTAGCGGCACCTTGTGCCTTGTGGAGATTGCGGCGAAAGCATATCGTCAATCTCGCTTCGCTAAGAATTGTTCATGGAAAATATGGGCCTATGATTTTCGGTGAATTTATGATATTATATTTCGTTTTGTGCTAGGTGTTCATATATATAGCTCTCATGTTTGCTATATGCAACGACAAATAAGTTTATCGCATTTTTTATCATTGAGGATACGCCACTTAGAACGAAGAATCACGTATTGGTATGAATATTCGCTTAGATTTATATCGAAGTGTAAATCTGCCAGTATGAGATAGCAAAATGAATTGTATTTCGTTATCTAAATCAGGGGTGTCAAACTCGTTGGTTTTCGAGGGCCGCATTGCATTTAGGGAATTTTGATAAGGAAAGAATAATAAATACATCACTAAAAATGACTTAATCAAAATATATAGACCTAGAATACTACTAAAATCAATGTTTTTTTTATTACATATGTCCTGGCGCTTGGCATTTCTTTTGTGCCACCAGCTTACTAATATCAGGCTGAAATGATTTTAAAATACCAACTCTAATTAACGAGGTCACATGTTCATCGGTTAATCTGGATCGTTGAGAATGTTTGATTAATTTCAGGTATGCAAAAATGTTACGTTTATCATTTCACGTATAGATCAGTAAACAAACAAATGACTGACTTTTCGGACCAGACATTTCTCGCCACATTTCCTACCATTACGTGGCATAGGACCGTTTGAGTTATGATTGATATTGATTTTTAGTAACTAGGTAGTCTTATAATTATGATAATATACAAGCACATAAAAAAATTTGATCAAAGTTGATCATTGAAATAGCCATATTGACTGCTGAGCTTATGCTAATAATGTCTACTTATATTGTATTCTTTCTTCTTTCATTGTACTGATGGAAATGTGACAAATTTAAGAATGTGCTTTAGAATTTTGAGAAATGTAGAAATATTGCAACTCCCATTTTTCTTCAAAAATGCCTCCTTTTTTATGTACTTTGCGTTCTATTTAATCCTGGGATTATTTTTTCAAGTATTCTTTTGCTAGCTTGGGGTGTATCCATAATTGGGTCAAATTGCAAACAAAAAAGTTTTATTTTTCCAAAACTTCTTTCAGTAAATTGTCGTTTTCTGTGTGAATAATCAATTTCACTTTAAAAGGTTTGAAAAATGTATTACATTTAGATAAAAAATAACTTATAAAATTTAAAAAAATTTTGAGGGCCGCATTGGAAGTGCTCTGGGGCCGCATGCGGCCCGCGGGCCGCAAGTTTGACACCCCTGATTTAGATAATAAGATATTGAAACTAGAGCGATGAAAATGTATCTAATTGAATTTTTTTTTTTTGTAAGAAATTATCACTTTAAAAATGATTTACTATTAATGAAAAAAAATAACGAAATCCATGACAAAGAATACAACTCGGTCTCTTGATATGCTGGCGAGAAACATTAGGTGTGATTTGAATTCTCTTCTGAACTCACTACTTGGATATTGTCATCAATTTATATGAATAAAACGTGTTTGTTGAAAAAAAAGTTGCCCCCAGGCAGACCACAACGATATTGCAGTTTCACACTATCGTTCATATATTGGAAGGTTGCAAGAGTGATAGGAGTAGACTAATGTAGAATAGAGCATAGAAATTTGAATGTTCTAGCAGCAAGTTCGTCAATCGGTCAAATTTTTGGATCGGTTCCGAAGTGAAGCCCACTTTCAGATTAACTATAAAGTTAGAGTTACGCGAGACTAACTGCATGGCCTGTTGTGTATAATGCAACGATGTTCGATTATTGATCATTAATAACCAATTTTTATGGTATGATGAAACCAATATCGAAAAATTGTTTCGTTGAAAGATTCGTATCGGATTAAAAAAAAAATAAGAAGAAAAGAAAATCGATAAAATAAGTTGGTGTTCGGTTCATAATTTATAAGATATTGGGTTAATTCAGCAATATCGTCGTAATTTAGTCGTCAAATCACTAATATTTTTTTTGCCGGGATCCAGTAGTGTAACGTTTCCCAAACTGTGTTCCGCGGAACAATAATAATAAATTAGTCGCCATGGCGATTTTAGAATTGTGAAGTTGTCGCCCAACTGACCGTTCAATATCGTGTCACTGTCGTCCTAAAGCGGACTAACTAAGGTAGGGTAGTAGCATTTTCGTTAATCGTCGGCCTAGCTTTTTGACTGTTAAGTTCATTATCAAGTTTACAGCAATATCCTTTTGGTTTTGCTATAGACAAACAAGTAGGTGTAAAGAATAAAGGCAAAAGGTCAATTCTTCTTATTCCTTCTCTGCCTGGTTTTACTTTGAAATGCTGAAAAAAATTACTCATGTTTGCTAAACTCGATTCAGCAGATAAATAAACTGCAGTTCGCGAAATTGCAGCAAGTACTTCAATCTCCTTTAGACGTAACATTAGAGGTAAACACTGCGTAATGGGAAGTAAACGACATAGAAAGCTAAAATAAAATTATTAATTTATATACACACCATTACCATCATATTTTAGGTATGTTTAACACAATTCTGTCTGCGCATTTGTCAACTCGCCACGGCGAACCCATTGGGAACCGCTACATTACACCGTTTTTCATTATCAGTTTTAACCTTTCATTTTTTGGTGTTCCGCGAGGCGAGATAAAAGTGGAAGTGTTCCGTGGCCGAAAAAGTTTGGGAAACGCTGCTTTAGAGTATATGTAGCAACTGGGATCAAATAATTGCGATATTAATAGGTGGGATTTACGTGAACTTTCAATCTGGGTTCCAAGTATATATTGCCTAACAAGTTGTATAAGAAAGCCCACTCGCAAATCTCGATCGAGAGTATCACAAAACGTTTGGTATTTTCATATTAAATTAAATGGATCACCTGGGGTCTAGAGTACTAGTCGTTTTAAGGTGTTTTTTCAGCTAACAGTTATACGCCGTAATAAACTCAACAATGCAAGGCTAAAGATGTAGTGATAATTGATTTCATGCCCTCAGGGTAAATATGACTTCCAATCCATTTCTATGCTGTAATAACAAGCCGTATGTCAATCACTTTGTCGGGTTCATGGACTATATCAGGGATGGCCAACACGACGATCTCGATCGACCGGTTGATCGCCGATATTGAGTGAATTTAATATAATATATACACCAAAAAGTTGCCTTGAATCAGTTTCATGCCGCGCGTGTAAAGAATATTGATACAGGAAGAAGATAGTGCTGTACAGTGTACAAGCGCAAAATACTATACACAAATACAGTAGGCCTATTTGAGTATGGGCAAACCGGTGGAATATAATATATTATTGCGTAACAAATGCGAAGGGTGCCTCGACCCAAAGTACCTTGACCACAGATATATATAAATAATATAATGCGCATCTCTCATTTCCGCGGGACAATTTGAAGCCTCTCTCGCTTTAGCGATATGGACTTCCGACTTTTAAGAGGCGCGTAATGCTTTTCTTATGGGATTTGACAGAAATCAATTATTTGCGTCGATTTTTCTTGCATATTCTCCTGATCTTGATTGGTTTCACATTATGTATCAAACTCTAATATATTCCAACCACCATATCGTGCTAATATAGGCTGTTTTATCAATTTGCGTTTCAAGTCGTGATTTATCAATATTGCCAACTAATCAGTTAAAAACGTACACCAACGACCACAAACGAATATGGCTTATCGGAATCGATCCCCCATTACCTGTATTTTGCGTGGCTATCTCAATATCAATGCGTGGCCTGGCTATGTAGTACCCGAGCTATACATATAAATAGAACTAAAGGGAGCTCCAGAAATGTGTGTTCCAATATGAAGGTAACTTATTTTGTTCGTCTACTTTACACCAAGTTGTGTAGAGGGACTGAAACCTATAATAAGGATTCATTTGGCTAACACAAACAGTCCCCGAACTCGTAGTAGAACTAAATTAAGGAATAAAATTATTGCCAAACCAAAATTATGATACACACACTACGGGAGTATCAACTCAAGTGCGCTTCGCCCCCAGCCGAAGACTTGCGTGAAATCTTCTCCGTGAAGGTTATTGTTTTTTTAAGATATCAGGCAAAAACAATTGTTTTCATTTATACCTATTGTGTAATCTCCATCAGGCTCTAAATTTCTAACTCGAGTTGAATATAATTGTATTTGAATTAGAGCTAAGATCTGAAGCCCGAACCCGACCCGAAATTCGGGTCGGGTCAGGCCTGAATGTCAATCATTACGTTCGGGTCGGGCTTCTCTATCGCTGACTTTTTTTTTTAAACAAATCTATGTTTATAAAAAATATATATATACTGAAACTATGTGTAAATACTAAATTAAGGAATACTTTTTGTAAAATAATTTGAATAAAACAGAGAAGAAGCTGTAATGGACGTTTCCCCGACCTTTGACCTCCGAAGATATTCTTCCTATACTTTACCATTGCAAAACTTTCAAGGCTTATTTTAAGAGTGGTTTTGCGTAAAATGGGGTATTTATTTCAAACCATCATTATAATTCGTTGCATACAACAATCTGTTTTTCTTTAAGTGCCGGTAAAGAAATCGGCAATCCGGTGAATCCAGTTAATTAGTCGGGCTCGGGTTTAATACCCACGTGCCCGGGTCGGACTGGAATTTTTGGGCCCAATCTTACCCCTAATTTGAATATCCAGTCAGTGTCTTATATACATCCATATCACTGGGATCACTGGGTACTAAAATAGATGAAAACAGGCCAAAACAGATGCAGCACGAAGAAACTTTGGAAGCATAAATGCCAAAATGGCGACGATCAAATTGTCCCGCGCTGAGACAACGCAAAACGAGAGAGAAAATCGTTCCATGTATTTCCAGTTCAATGGCCTTGACCGACGAACGACTCTTTAATAACTTCTGCGTACAAGTTCGTCGATCAAGGCGGTAAGCGGAAGTAATTGTCTCGCTCCAACTGTAGTGTGATAAATTTATTCGCAGCGGTAGCATTGGCATCAGATTGTCCAATGTTTTCTAATTCCAAGCGAGCAAAGAATTGGACTTGAAGTTCGAGCAGGCATATAACATAATATTGAATTGGGTTGCGCGAGACTAACTCCCGATCTTTCCTTCATGTCTTTATGTTAGCTAGTGGATCCGTATCATATACTGCAAGGATGCTGTAGCTGGAGATAGAATAGTCATATAACATTTACGGTTCGAAAATATTATTTTATTTATAACAAGGGCTTGTTTTAAATCAAATTTTTCTGTATTTTTTGTATTTTTCTTTGAAATACCCCTTGCATCGCCGCGAAACTACGCCAAAACGTTGCATTCTGGCAGCTGCACACGCAGCCAGAATTATAATTTCAAAAATGTAAGTAAAATTTTTTATTTAGACTTTTACCACTATGATTGCGTACATTTATCGCCACTTTATATCTCCACCAAAGTCATAAGATTTTACCCGGAATGTTTAGCCGAGATATCAGAGAGACGTTTTGAGTAAGAAAAATCATAATTAGCTCACGGGTCTACTACAAAAGCAACTCGATCAAGTGCAGCCCTTCGGCAAAACGAGTGGGTTGCGATAATGAAGAATTATGCTTATATTGGCGATAATCTACTGATATGAACGATGAGACACCCTAACCTAGCCTATGTTAATTGTAAGTCCTCTGATGCAAAGACGCCACAACTAATCTGTTATGAAGCCATAATATGGATAACGAGGTCATGTATTGACATTTTTCTCATAAAATGAAGTCATTGTTACGGTTAATACTGTTCGGTTAATTTATGCTTAGCATACTTTGTTTTTTAGGGTTGAAGTGAGTTTTTCAAGGTTGTACAAACTCATTTATTCGATCGCATTTCAATTTTCGCAGCAGGGTCGTTCACGTAATAGCCTATCGGTTGCGTCTTACTGCGCCAACCACTGAACTACAACTTGAGATGGTGTGCATGAGCCTCTATCGATATTTGTGGCGTTTTGAAAGCTTTATTGCATATAAGAAGCGCTTGGCAAGTTTTAACATACATTTTACTCCAACCTATTTAACAAAAAAAAATCAAATAGTACAGCCATTTTGAACAAAACAGGCAAAAAAAACTTGATTTAAAACAATTGTTTTAAAACAATTCATTTCGAACAAATCCCTATATGCGTGTGTGCAGTCATCCCACTAATTCTACAAGGGATGAGTTTTTGCCTACCACTGGAGCTCAATCAAATAATTCACTGGCTGGTCATTTATAATCTGGTTTCTTTATTATAGGCCCACTTGAACCGAGATCCCTGGTCACTGAACCAACCCCTAATTGCCAGATAATTGTTTCAATAGTTATTTGGTACATTGCAACCATATGTTATAAACCCTACTGTATTATGTCTAATTATACTGTTTTTGTAATTTATTTTATCATTGTGATATCTCTTGAACAATGTTAGTTATTGCTTAGTTCATTTTCCTCTGTATTGATTGAATTATTATTTTATTTTTCACATCTGGTGTCTATATTTGTTGCACGAGTATCTGATTGTGTAAAATAAGCTTGGTTAAATGTTACTCTCAGGACTTCTTAGTCCACAATCAAGAATGATGTTTCACCTGTTTATTTCTTTGTTTCTCGTCTTTCCAGAATTGGAATGTACTATTCCGAATCTGATAATTTTTCTAATGACTCCAGTCCCGGTAACCATGTCACAGTGCCGAATTGAAGTGCAGTAGAAACTGGTTCCATATTAAGAAACTGTTAACAATTCAGACGTTACTCATAGTTCCAAATGTATTACCTAATAACTGTCTTGTTAGGTACACTACCAGAACGTGCACCCTTAAAAACTGGTACCTGAACGCCGTTCCCGAATGGCTTTTCCAGTATGACTGTACCCAGCCTGTCACTGTGCCAAGGTGATATTCACTTTGGTCGTTGTTATGCTGTTTGCCGCCCATGATTACCCCGCCCGTACTTGACGGTGCCCGGAGTCTCTATTCTGTAACAAATTTGGATTTTGGACGTTAATAATTGATATATTAATATATATATATATATATTGTTCGTCTTGTTTCTATTAAACTTGTATCAAAGTTAGACTCTAATCACAGTTGTCGCTGCTCGATAACCAACTTTGGTTTTTTGCGTCACCTTTCACCATGAAATGTCATTTTCAATTTCTTTTTCAAGTTTATGTTCGCTGTGAGTGCATTTTCATTTAGGTGAAAAATAAACTACTGACGGACTGACTTATCTGAATATTCAGTACTCATTCGTTTTTGTGTGTCACCTTTGAGCTATTTTGAAGATTTTAGTCCATCGCGGTCTAATATGGGTTGGCCATCCCTGGAATATATAATACGAAACCTAAATTCTTTGCTAATCGTTTTTCTGGTTCCCAAACGTGAAATATGAAACTATCAGCTTACCGCACCGTCATCTAAAACGAAAGACTGACCAAATTCAACAGCATTAATCAATAACCGTACAGTTGGTGGGTTCTGTTAAACGCCAGAAAATTTATTTATTATTTTATCAATCGGTTGCACACTCATTTTAGACGATTATTAATTTTTTAATCAAACACATAAAATATTTTTCTAACATACATCAGACTTTATATTAGGTTTGATTGACATTTATAAAATGAAGTTCGTTTATCTACTTCTGATATCAGCATCTATTTCGTTAACCATATGTCAAAAACCAAGGATACTTCAAGGTAACGGTATATAAATTATTTTCATATACAGTCATGTTTTTGAACACTTTTTAGTTCTTTACAATTTAGTCATTCAAATTTTGATAAGTTATACATTGTTCAATTTTTCAGGATGCCGCAGAAAACCTGACATTCTGAACATCAAAATTACGAAAAATAATGTTGTCGATCTCACACATGTGATGGACGAGCGAACATTTGTTTGGCCAACGGCAACAAGGGGGTACGAAATGTTTACAGTTTTCAAAGGTATACAGCGGTCAAAATATATTTTTTTGCATTGGTACTTTTTTCATTTTACTTAAGAAACTGCGCGATGGGGACTTGTTCTTATGAGATAATGAACCTTACATGCGATTCATTCACGGTGCAGCAGACTACAAAAATAATTGTTCGAAAGCAATCCTTGCAACCAATGATGAATTCGTTTTGACCAGTCAGCAGGCAATAAATCATTGGTTTTGTTCAAAATAGTCCTGGCATATCATTTGCAACATAGCCTACCCACGCAATTTCACAAGCCGAATCATATGGACGCCAAAACACAAAACTGTTGCCCTCCTCAGACAACTGAAAAGCGATGAATTTCTGTGTCAGCATAAAATGGCTCCTAGAATGATAACCGTACGTCGAACCGTAATTCATATCCTTTAATATTTTTAAAGAGTAAATTATAGGTAATGTAAATTTTTGTGTGCCGTGAGAGATTCTAAGGTGTGCCGCAGAACTTTTTGGAATTTTAGAAAATAAGCTTTTCATATTACACATAGGCAATAGGCATGCATTCAACGGGAGTGCGTTTTATCCAATATTAGACTGATAACATCATTGTATTTGCCTTGTCGTTGTAGTAAGGTTAATTGGCACGCTATATTTGTATTATTATTTTATAATGCATATTCAAACAAGACGTCAATCTTTCACCACGTTGACTTGCGCGCTTAGTTGGGCTAACAAGAAAGCAAGTATGTACTATTTTTGACTGTGCAAAATTCATCGGAGTAATATAGCCATTTGCATCTCCATGGCTCTGGGAAAACGGATTTTTTGCTCTGATTGAAATTAAAAGCAAAAAGGGATCGATGGAACCTCGTTTTAATTGTTTTTCAAAACAGGCACACACCTCGGATCAACATTTGCAGAATAAATATGTTTATGGCTAACCTCATTTTTTACAAGTGTGCCGCAAACTTTTTTTTATTTGCTCAGTGCGCCGCGAGCAAAAAAAGTTTGAGAACCACTGATATATGCGGTATTTTGCTATAGCAAAAATATGGCGAGTATTCCCTGTAAGTTACATAATTTTTATATTTATTCTTTTCTGTATTATCTTCAACATTTTTCAGGATTCATTACTGCAACCGTCCGATTTTTCCTACAAAGTTATTCATTCTTTACTCCTGAGCATTCGGGCACACACATGGATGCACCTTCCCATTTTTACGAAGATAAAAGCCACGTAAGTGAAGTTATCTTTATATTCATTGTTCTCGTCACTCACTTTGCTTTTACTTGCTACTTGCTAAGCCAGAATTGAACGATTTTTCTTTTATCTTCTCCATAGCGTTGTGCCTGAAGGCGATGTGGAACCGTACCTTTAGAGTTAGAAATCATAACGAAACTGTGTCAGTCGTCTCAGCCATAATTTTTTTCTGCCGACAAATCTCATTATTTCAATTTGTGGAAAAATAACCTATAATCTGGTAGTTTGTTCGTTTACACCCGGGGTGTTACAAATTTTGGAGAAAAATTAAAATATCTGAAAAACGCCTTTATGAGACTAATTTGGGAAAGACTTGATCACATGAAAACATTTGGTCCACACATGTTTCCGCGAATATAATGATAATAGACAGAAAGGACATATTGATGGGAACTTGAAGAAAGGCAATACCTTACAGTCGCTTTGTGTGGTTTTTGCATAAGTGAGCATGTTGAAATTTAGTGCTCTTAAAACCCGGGTTCCGCGTAAACCTACTGTGTTCGCAAAACACTTACTTCGTAAGATTTTCTCGTTTTCGAGTGAACTGTAACAATTGTGTACCAATGAAGGATCTTACAGGACGTTTTGTGAAAGATAGGTTTGGGTTTTGAAATAGACGATTTGAAGAAATTGTAGAAATTAAAATCGATAAATAACAATATTGTGTTTTAACAAGATTTATTTTAAAGAAGAAAAACTTTCGAAATATTCCATTTTTGAATTTTTGAACTTAACGTTAGGCAGTTCAATGATCGAATCATTCTTTTTATGGGTAAATTCACATGGAAATAAACATTTTTTTTTTAATACTAACTAGTATATATCTGAGTGAAAATTTTTGTTAACTTCATATTTTAAAACAATTTCACAGACAGACGAAGTTGGTTTTGATTCAATAATTGGTCGTGGAGTTTTAATTGATTTGACGAAAAATAACACGAGATATGAAAAGGATGGCAGAGTAACAATCGATGATATATTAGCATGGGAAATAATTCATGGTAAACAAAAAATTGTTACGATAACCTGTGCTGGTACAATCTTGTTATTAGCCTCAGGCGTGATAAATTAATAAACATCAATTTTATTCAGAAAACGTCACGGGATATATACGTGATTTTATTACTCAACAATTTCATTACTACGTTACTAATTTACTACTTACTGTCGGCTCCAAGATATTCAAAATTTGAAAATATAGCTCCAGTTCGAGTCATATATTCGAAAAAAATTCGAAACGCCAAACCGTATGTCGATAGCCCAATTGGGAAAGAATTCCTTCCCGGGAAGAAATTTTGCCTTGTATTTGCTGTAGTATTTTTAATATTATGAAGTTCTTTATTATTGCTATATTATTAATAGAAGAACGCATTATAAACTACATAAACTGTACAAAAGTGGAGGTGCGATTTGCGCATAACAATGGTTAGTCCACTAAAGATTGAATTTACAAAGTATATTTTTGCATAGTGAGGGGGGATGAAGGGTTTCGAAATAGGTGAAAGAAAGGATTAAAAAAAAAAACTGCTAAGGAACAACTGCTATAGCCCTAACAATATTAAATAATATTTTCTATATAATCTTTGTTACTAACAGGGAGAATGAGAAGCGGAAGTATTGTTCTCTTATATACCGGCTACTCAAACTATTACTACGACAGACCAGTTTACATGGGGACAAACTTAACTGGAGCTGAAGGGGAAGCTAACCTACATTTTCCTGGACTGCACGAGGAAACAACTGAATGGCTTGTAAATAACAGATGCATTGCGGCTATAGGAATTGACACGCCGAGTATGGATTATGGTCAATCAAAAAATTACCCGTAAGTAATATAATGCTTAAATAAAATGAGCACTTTGATTTAAACATTCACGAGGAAAACCCGATATCACTCCGTTTCGTTATTTACAGTTCTCATCGAATTTTGTGCAAGAGTGACATCCCGATCTTCGAAAATGTCGCCAACCTGAAAAAGTTGGCTGATGCTGGCAGGGGTTTCAAGGTTATTGCCCTTCCGCTGAAATTGAAAGGAGGGAGCGGATCTCCTGTGCGAATTATAGCTGCTTTGAACTAAATGGATCTCTCCTTTTGTTGAAGGATTTGATTGAATTTATTTCAAGTACAACAAGTACGCTGATGCCGTGCGGGTTGGATCAAAACTGTATTTTTTTCTTATAAACTATATATATGTATATACTAACCTAATTACAGTAAGCAATAGCGTGAACGATCAGTCATGCGATCGAAATAAATTAAATTGTTTTTTACAATTAAATCTATTCAATTAAATTGCAATCCTTCGAATTTAATCGCTATGATATGAACCAATTTCACAAATTTGGCATAATGTGACGTTGATTTCATCCTCTGCACTTTTCATTTCTCCCTCATTAAAAATACGCATGAAAACTGCTTTAATCTTAAATGGAGAACAGCAGTAATATGCCCAATTTACACATTCTAAATTGTGTACAGTTTGAATAGTTTACATAAAATTCCACCCTGGCCTGAAAACGCTGGTCTACGTAAGCCTATATGTTTTTTTTTTTACCAGAAAAGGATGTCAAAGTCCATATTTGGAAAGATCTTAACTCGTGGAAGTAATGATGGACATTTAATATTAACGTTTCGATGACTTACGCTAATAAATATTCGATACAGATTTTATCGTGAATTGTTATTTTCCCTTTAGAAGGTACTATGTTTCCGGTTAAGTCAGGAAAAGGGAATTGCAAACGATAGAGTTATTTCATGCAAAGACAGCTAAAAGCGCTTATAAATCTTGACTTGAAATTATGCCTGATTCCTAACAATAAAAAGATCTCGAATGAACAGTCATTTATGTCGCGTAGAATTTCCGATTGCTCTAAAATTTATTTGGTGAGGAGTGGTGATGGTAGATGGGCAAGGTTTTCGGACAAGGGGCCAAAATGTGGCCCACCTAGACTGGCGGGCCAGATAAGTTTGACGTAAAAAGTAACATACTATGAACAATATTTACAGTGTTACATGAGCAAAAGTGGAACCAAAATAAGCCTCGTGCCAAAACTAAATTTAATGACAACATATTCCTTGCGTTATTTTTCACCTAAAACATCAACATTTGGTTTTAGTTTGGTTGCGTTAGCATCAGTCGGGCCAGATTGAAGTACCCAACGGGTCGGATTTGGCCCACAGGCCATAGTTTGCCCATGTCAAAGTTTGACATGCAAAAAAAATTTAATAATTCAATTCGATCGGCCACTGATTCACGCTACTTTCACGATTACTATGATTCGGATGATACATAGTTTGTGGAAAAATACAGTTCCGATCCAACCGAAACGACTAATTGTACTTGAATTCATGAGCTCCTGGTGAGCAAATACTTTTAGAAACATACCGCACAGAATGAGCTAAATATTGATCCAATCAGCATTTTATTTTCACAAAAGCGCTAAAAGTCTTAGTGCTACAATAAAATTTTATTTCATTGTGGCAATAGGTAAGCCAACATTACTTGAATACATGACAATTACATAGTAATAATATTCAATCAAATCCTTCAACAAAAGCAGAGATTCATTTAGTTCAAAGCAGCTATAATTCGCACAGGTGATCCGCTCCCTCCTTTTAACTTCATCGGAAGGGCAATAACCGTGAAGCTATTGCCAGCATCAGCCAACTTTTTCAGGTTGGCAACATTTTCGAAGATCGGGATGTCACTTTTGCACAAAATTCGATGAGAACTGTAAATAAAGAAAAGGAGTGATATTGGGTTTTTCTCGTGAATGTGTAAATCAAAGTGCTCATTTTATTTAAGCATTATATTACTTACGGGTAATTTTTTGATTGACCATAATCTATACTCGGCGTGTCAATTCCTATAGCCGCAATGCATCTGTTATTTACAAGCCATTCAGTTGTTTCCTCGTGCAGTCCAGGAAAATGTAAGTTGGCTTCCCCTTCAACTCCAGTTAAGTTTGTCCCCATGTAAACTAGTCTGTCGTAGTAATAGTTTGAGTAGCCGGTATATAAGAGAACAATACTTCCGCTTCTCATTCTCCCTGTTGATAACAAAGATTATATGAAATATAAGAGTGATTATTGGTGGGGCTCAAATAGTGGTCCCAAGCTTTTTGATTAAATTCATCCCCTCGCCTATTTCGGAAACCTTTATTATGTTATGCGCCAATTGCAACTCCATTTTTTTAAAGTTTGAGTAATTTATAATGCCTTCAAAAATTAATAAAATAGCAATAATAAAGCAAAAATAAACTTCAGAATATTAGAAATACTAAAGAAAATACAAGGATGAATTTCCTCCTGGGAACAAATTTATTTTTCAAATTTTGATCATTTCGGAGCCGATTTTTAAAATCTAAACAAATAGAATTGGAGCAAAGTTGTTTGAATTTGGGGTCACGATTTTTATGAAATATTAATATTTGACAAAAAGTCATTCTACTTCACGTGAAAGTCAGTAACGTAGTAAAAAAATTGTAGAGTATGGAAATCAAGTATATATCCTATTACCTTTTCTGAATTAATTTTATGTCTATTGCTTAATCATGTTTCTCGTTGACCTAAGGCACATGAAATTTTTGTTCCAACAAGAGGTTATCGTAACAATTTTGCGTTTACCGTGAATTTTTTCCCAGGCTAATATGTCATCGATTGTTACTCTGCCATCCTTCCCGTATCTCGTGTTATTTTTCATCAAATTAATTAAAACTCCACGACCAATCATTGACTCAAAACCAACTTCGTCTATCTGTAAAATTGTTTTATGATATGAAGTTAGTAAAATTTTTACTCAAACAGAATGCTAATTAGTATTGAAAAGAACAATGTTTGTTTCCAAGAGAATTTACCCGTAAAAATGATTCGATCATACAAAAATTGAATATCAAGTTTTTTTTCTTTAAAATAAATCTTGTTGAAACAAAATATTGTTTCCATATTATTCAATTCAAAACGCACTTGCCTGCGAACCACATTTTTTTCGAAGCATCTATTTCGACAAACAAATCTATCTTTCACAAATCGTTCTTTATAGTCCGGCAGATAAGGGGACCTTTTTGGCCCAAGTTTGATTTCAGACATAAAGTTTTTTTTATTTGTGATTATTCATCTTGGAATCATTGCCCATCATTTCTACATGGGTGTGAGGTTTGCAGCCTTAAGCAAATTTTTTTACAGCTCGATATTTGTATTAGGGTTTTTCGTCAAACCTGTGCATCATAATGACGCACAACCTGAACTATAACCTGTTACAATACTATGTTCAGGTTGTGCGCAATCTTGGTGCACAAACTACGCAAGCACCAAATTTACTAGGAAATAAAACCAATAACTTTTAGGTATTTATTGAGCCCAGCTTTGGGTCGCGACCCATATACTATATGTCATATACATTATATCTAAACAATAAAAAAAACTTTATGTCCCAAAACAATGTTAAGGCCCGATTCTGCCGGACTATTAGGGTCATATAAATCCCGAGTTTGGTTAATTGACACAGTTCACTCGAAAGAAAGAAAAATCTGACCCCTGCGGTAAAACTTACTAAAATTAAAAAGTGTTCTGCGAATAAAGTAGGTTTGCGCGGAACCCGAGTTAAAGAAGATACAAGTCACAACATGTTCATCTATGCAAAAAGTACACACGGCGGCTGATAGGTATTGTCATTCTCAAATTCCCATCAATATATATGCCCTTTTGTCTAATACCACTACATTTACGCGGATAAAGTCAGGACCAAATATTTTAATTTGACCAGACCTTTGTCCAACCTTTATGGCCGAAGGGTCAAATATTGGTGTCATAAAAACTACACCTCTAGCTTCACAGAACAAAGGCAGGAAAACGGATTGAAATACATGGCAGGCAATAACAGTAAAATCAAATATCTCTTCAGCAATAACGCCCGCAAATAGACTCAGAAGAGTTTTTGATAGCTGGGTGTTGCTTCTCGCGCATTTGAAGAGCGAGAAATAACTTTTTTATTAGAAGTTTTAATAGTGGCTCAGATTTGTGAAAGACATAGGAGTTCGAATAATATCGCGCGGGCCATACGGAAACCTTCGGCGGGCCACATGTCACCCGCGGGCCACGGGTTGGACGACCCTGAATTTGACTAAGTCCTTCCAAATTGGTTGCACACAGGGGTGTTTCAGATATTTAATTTTGCTCCAAATTTGTAACACCCCGGGTTTAAACGATCAAACCACCAGCTCATAGGTTATTTTGACCATAAATTGAAATAGTACGCTTCGTCGAAAGAAAAAAAATTATGGCTGCGGCAACTGACCCAGTTTTCATTATGATTCCTAACTCTAAAGGTACGGTTCCACATCGCCTTCAGGCACAACGCTATGGAAGAGATGAAGGGAATATCGTTTAATTCTGGCTTAGCAAGTAAAAGCAAAGTGAGTGACAAAAAAATGACCATAAAGATAACTTCACTTACGTGGCTTTTATCTTCGTAAAAATGGGAAGGTGCATCCATGTGTGTTCCTGCATGCTCAGGAGTGAAGAATGAATAACTCTGCAGGAAAAATCGGACTGTTGCAGTTATGAATCCTGAAAAATGTCGAAGGTAATACAGAAAAGATCAAAATATAAAAGTTATGTAACTTAATAGGATTCCCTGCCATATTTTTGATAGTGTATAAATATTGGCAAACATACCATACAAGCCTTAATCATTTTATCCACATATCAAGCATAAAATTCATGAATGACGTATTAGATTTAGCTTCCGTAGCACAATTGTACTCAACGGGTCTGTACTGTACTTGAGCTGGAGCAAACAAAAAATTCACATAACCTATAATTTACTCTTTATAAAAATATTGAAGGATATGAATTAGTCTTCGCGATAAGGTGGGATCTTTATAGGTATCAGGAGGAAGTGGCTTCCACGTGCTGTTTTCATTCTGGGAGCCGTTTTATGCTGGCACAGGAATTCATTGCTTTTCAGTTGTTTGAGGAGGGCAACAGTTTTGTGTTTTAGTTCCCATATGATTCGGCTTGCGGAATTGCCTGGGTAAATTGTTAAGACCATATTTGAACAAAACCAATGATTCATTGCCTGCTGACTGGTCGAATTTTGCATCCCTCGTTGCAAGGTATACTTTTGAATAAATATTTATGCTTCGTGGATGAATTGCATGTACGCCTCATGCAAGCGCAGTTTTTTAAGGAAAATGGAAAAATGCAAAAAATTATATTTTGACAACTCCTGTTGAATACCTTTGAAAAGTGTAAACATTTCGTAACCCTTTCCATGCGTTGGCCAAACAAATGTTCGCTCATCCATCACATGTGTGAGATCGACAACATTATTTTTCCTAATTTTGATGTTTAGAATGTCAGGTTTTCTGCGGCATCCTGGAATATTGGAACAAAGTATAACTCTATCGCAATTTGAATGACCGAAATGTTAAGTAAAATGTCTTCAAAGTCATGATTGCGAATAAAAATAATTTATATACAGGGTGTCTCAAAAGTAAGTATACACTTTGAATTGCTTTTCGGGTACTCATCATAGGGCGTTCATTTCTTCAGAAAACATAGTATGGATAAATAGTAAATTTTAGGTATTGTTTGTATTTTTCCTCAACTCACAGAATGACAGGATATTAACCCAATAAATGAGGTGCAAAAGTGCTGTTTGGCGAGAAGCATATATATAAACCAGTAATGCAAACTCAGCGCCTCTTTAACGAAGAATTTGGAATTAATTCGCCTCTAAATGTTTTCCTCAGAGAGTTTGGTCTTCCTGATCTTTGTGCATCAATTACAGATCCAGTTTCCATAAATTTACGACACCCTGTATATATACCATTACCTTGAAGTATCCTTGGTTTTTGACATGTGGTTAACGAAATAAATGCTGATATCAGAAGTAGATATACGAACTTCATTTTATATATATATGTTAAACAAAGCTCATAACAAATCTGATGAATATTATATGTTAAAAAAAACTTTTTATGTGTTTGATAAACAAATCAATATATATTCGTCTAAAATTGGCGTGCAGTCGGTTGATAAAAAAATTGTTATATATATATATGGATATATATAAATATGGATAAATATTTTCTGGTGTTCAACACAGGTTATTGATTAATGCTGTGTTATTGATTAATGCGTTTTAATTTTGTCGGCATTCTTGTTGCACGGTAAAGGTACTTGCGATATAAAATGCTTTGTATAACGAGTTGATAGTTTCATCTTTCAGATTTGGGAACTAGAAATGCAATTGAAGAAAAATTTGAATTTCATATAATGTAGTTTACGAATCCGGTAAAGTGATGGACAGACGGTTTACTATTACAACATAAAACTGGATTGGATTTTATATTCACCCTGAAGCATGTTATGTTAGTCGTTGCCTTGAAGACATGAAATCACTTATCACTACATCTTTGGCTCTGTATTGTATACTTTATTTCGGCGTATCACTGAAAACGATCAGCTTGGCAGGAGATTTGTTTAAATTGTAAGATGACGGGGAACTAATACGAGTGAGTGCGCGTGGCCCTGCTTGCAAAGATACTAATTTCTACATAGGTATTTCTTATGAAATTATCTCATCAAATACACGCGCAATACAATTGTCTACAAAAAATCCCCACGAACAGCAATTTTCTTTTCTCATTTTTTTTCAATTCAATGCCAAATTTTCAACCAATATTTTTGGGATATTGTTTTTATTCACTAAATAATTGGGTTTTTATTGATCAATGTGAAAATTAATCTATTTGAAATAAATATATTTCTCATTGTTGCCACAATATCCTTGAATTATACAAATACAGATCTGCTAAAGCAGTGGTTCTCAACTTTTTTCAATTCGCGGACCGGTAAAATTTCTAAACAAATTTTGCTGACCGGCGGACCTTCAAAATTAACCAAAAATATCATGAACACAAAACATAATAAAAAGAATGCTTTTACAACAAAAGTAAGCGATGCAAATATAGCCAATCCAATTTAATGAAAAGTTTGCTGCTGTTTTTTTGATATTATATATCAGTCATAAATATCATCATAGAACAGCAGTAATTTAATGGTTCTGTCACTAATCTCGGGATATTCGTTTCAAGAGATAACCAGAACTGTGACAATGGCAATTGTTGCAAGGTCGGTTCGGTGCATGTTGTAACTTGTAAAGTGGAAGTAGCAGTCTCTTCCTCTGTCCTGTCAACACCACTAACTTGGTTTTCATCGCTTAGTTTCTTTTGAAAGGACTGGATAATACTTTGCTGTTTGCTTGCATCCATTTTACTATCAAACCTCGCTATATTATATGCCTACTGTCAAATTACGAAACGTGCGAACTGCGAAGTTCTCAATAAGGTACTGTACTACGTGCTATCAAACTTCTTCGTTATGACGCTAGCCGCCGTTATGAGGTCATAGATTTAACGAACAGGCCTGAAATGGGCAGGGGACCTTTCACCAAGTTTGGTTTTGTTGTTATTCATTTACGGTTAAACGAATACCGGTACTACAACTCAATAAGAGTTAAAAATCACAAAATTATTGAACATGCCGTCAATACTTTGTATTTTGCAATTTGCTTGTAATATATTAATATTGGAATATATTTGGCGGACCGGCAGCAAGGTTGCCGTGGACCGGCGGTTGAGAACCACTGTGCTAGAGCAGCAGGGTTCCCCAGACCCCAGCGATAAAAAAGGCCAAATCAAGACCTAAAAAAAGCCAGAAAAAGCCAACAATTTTACTAAATACAGAAGCCCCATGATTTGTCAGATTTTGAGCCCTTGGCAACGTAGTGATGATGATGTAGAGCCATCAGTTCATTTAGTGAGGCACACGAGTAGAAAGTAAAGTTCCTATAGAACTGTAGAAAGTAAAATAAATATCAAGCGGACAGCATTATTTTATCATTTAATATATACAATACAGGGTGCTTCTTCAGTCTGTCAGTATGTAATATACCTACATGTTTCTACTTAAACTTGTGATATACCTTAAAAAATTCAACTTATATCGTACTTTACTATTGAAAATTTTTTCACTTTCAAAATCTATAAACCATCAATTTTATTAAAAAATTATCTAACCCCCTGCCGCTCACAAGTGGACCACTGATATCTAATTTAGTAATTTTAGCGTAGTTAATTACATCGTTACTGCAATTGCAGAATGAAACTAAAGCTCATATAAACTATACCGTATAAGGCATAATGAAAATTAAGTTATACAACTATTTTTTGGAAACAGAACGTAAAACTGACAAATAACACGCAAAACTATAAAAACGAGGCAATGTTTACAACCCTGCTTGAACATCTGTCTGAGCAACTGCAGAAACTGCAATTATTTCTTATTGGGTATGATTAAGAGTTAATGTAACAAACAAGGAAATCGATGCTCCAGGAAATCCTAATGTTAAGTAGCCAAGTACAGGTAATAGGCTAGTTGTTACACACTAAATATTGTATTTCATATGATTCTAATAAAAGACACTAGAATAGACTTGAAAAAAGCCAAAAAAAAACGCCAAAAAGCCAAACGGAAATTCTGACGACAAACGCGTTAGAAAAAAGCCAAAAATGGCAAATTTGGCGTTAAAAAAGCCAATATGGCAACCCTGTAGAGCAGCGTTTCCCAAACTGTGTTCCGCGGAACACTAGTGTTCCGCGAGCATCTTCGAAGTGTTCCGTGGAAAAGGAATAAAAAAAACGTCTTAAATAGTCGCCATGGAGATCTATGGCAGGGCTTCCCAAACTAGGGGCCGCTAAACGAATTTTAAGGGCCGCAAAGAGAACACCAATTTTACAAAACATCAAAATCGCATATTTCGAACTGTTTACCATTATTAACGAGGACAAGGGCCGCGAAAATTTTTAATATATATATATATTAAAAGGGATCGCGAGCTCAAAAGTTTGGGAAGCCCTGATCCATGGAACGTGAAGTTGTCGCCCAACTGACCGTTCAATAACGCGTCACCACCGGCTTAAATCGTACTAACTGGAGAGGGATAGTGGCATTTTCGATAACTGTCGGCCTAGCTTTTTGACTGTTAAGTTCACTATCAAGTTTACAGCAATCATTTTGGTTTTGCTATAGGCAAACGAGTAGACCTAAAGAATAAAGGCAAAAGGACAACTCTTCTTCCTCCATCTCTGCCTGGTTTTACTTTGACATGCTGAAAAAATTACTCATTTTCGCTAAACTCTATTAAGTAGATAAATGCAGCGAAATTGCAGCAAGTACTTCTATCTCCATTAGACGTAACATTAAAGGCAAACGCTACGTAATGGAGAGTAAACGACATAGAATGGTAAAATGAATTTATTAATTCATATACACACCATTTAAATTAAGAAAACAATAAAACATTAATATAAATGCAACATGTAAAATATTCAATCCTATTTTAAGTATTTTAACACAATTCTGTTAGTTTTCGCCGCGCATTTGACAACTTTTTCTTTATCAATTTTACCCTTTTATTTTTTGGTGTTTCGCGAGGCGAGATGAAAAGTGGAGGTGTTCCGTGGCCGAAAAAGTTTGGGAAACGCTGTGCTAGAGCATTCAACTGACTATCCTCTGTTTTACATTAGTTTGCCCATAGAACTTTTGCAACGTTCTGTTATATAAACGATAGTATCGTTGTGATTTGCCTGAAGGCAACTTTTTTTAATGGCCACGTTTTACGCATATTAATTCACGACAATTTTTAAGTAGCGAGTTCAGAAAGGAATTCAAACCACACCTAATGTTTCTTGCCAGAATATGAAGAGACTGAGTTGTATTCATTGTCACGGATTCCAATTTTTACACGATTCTTCGTTCGGAGTGACATAAAATATGCGATGAACTTATTTGTCGTTGCATATTGCAAATAATGCTCATGGTTTGGACAAATAACACGCAAAACTAAAAACAGAGGCAATGTTTATAACCACGCTTGAATAGCTGTCTGATTGGTGACATAAATTGCAATTGTTAACGTATTGCTGATTTGTAATTGTGACGGAAATAAACAAGGAAAGCGATGCACGAGAAACATCCATACGTGGAGTATCCGTAGTAGATGACAAATTAAATTTATAGAACTCTATTTATATTATACTAATAAATCAAAGGTAAAAAATAAATAATTGAGCTTGATAAGAATAAAATTGAATCAGCTACTACTGATTTTAATGGCCTTTCCTTGCACTTCTCTAAAATCACTTTCAATTTTTCCCGACCATAAACGCAATACCTAACTTCTTTAGTTTTGTAAATTTCTACAGAAATCAGTTGTGCGCTTAAACAATAATGGGCTTACCTAAATTTTTGTCACAGACGCGTATTTTGCATAAAAAATCGATAGCCCGCTTTTGCTCTTAGACGAAGTAAATCATCATCTAAACAGGGTCCAAATGCTAATAAATTTTTAATACAGATTTTATCATGAATTGTTATTTTCTTTTTGAAATGTACTATATGTTTCCAGCTAAAAAAAAATTCAGTAAAAATAGGTTTAAAACACAATCCAACAATCCAACCGCTTTCCCTTTGAACCCTCTTGTATACATCTCCTAAAAAAAATTCATAACTTTTTGTTCAAACATGCGAGAAACTTGTTTACTCCGTTTTATACCAGTCGTTGCTCTGGACACACACGCCTTTCTGCCTACCCTGTTGCGTTGAAAATAAGAGAAATTTGAAATCACGTAGCATAATCAATTTTAAGTCTTTCCAAACTCAATAAATTTTTTTATTCTGAAAAAGAAATCTACTGAAAATCCGTCATCTACCATTTATTTTATCCGTGTAGAAATATTATTTACGAATATAGGCGCTCACTGCCAGACTGCAGATCACAGCAAGACAGTACGCAGCTGCAAAGTCAAACGCTTGACGTTCTGACGTTAGTCGTTAGTCGTTTTTGCTTATCTTCTTACCGTACATTATTCTAATTTTTTAGAAATCAAACTTGGGTGCTGGATTCAAATGCCCACAAATCATGAGTTTCATGTACAAGGCGATGAGTAAGTAGTCTATGTCATATTTTATGTTATTTTGAAACCTACGGTACCGGTACCGTACCGGTATGCTTCAACGTTACAGTTCACTCGGTCATGCAGACTGCAGTCACTATCCAGCTACCGGTATCGGCAGACTGATACGGTACGGAACAGTAGTGTGTTGTCGTTCATAACACCATTTCAGAATGGGTTGCTGTGGTGTGGTCATGTCTGCATGTTGTTTTCTGGTTTTGCTTGCATTGAAACCTTGCTTGTCTGCGCATCCGAAATCTAACAGCTATTTCTCTCGTTTATTTGTCCTGACGATCCCGGGTCTCGTGTAGTTTCGTACCTAACGTACTTCTAGTAGTAGTAGGCGTAGCATAACAATTTTTTGACATGCCAATCCTAACCCTCACCTGACTACACCATCCAAAAATTGCGTCACTACGACGTCACAATCACGTCATAGAGCTTGCCAAATTCTATGAGATAGATCGCTGACGTGGGTCGGTTCTTTATCTGTTTGTCGTTGGCGCCGATGCCATTCCGGGCCAGTCTGGATTTCATGGCCTTTCTGAACGAGAAATCGGGCGTGCAATCAGAAATTCCCGCGTACAAATAGGAATTTCTGGCGTGCAATTATAGCTCGCGGCGTGCAAAACAACTGCGCCCGCGTGAAACTGACTTCGACCTAAGATACCTCTCAATACATCCGTGTAAAATTACCAGTATTGGATAAAAAATACGTTGAATCATAGCAAAAATGGACGTTTAACCTTTGACCCCCAAACATTATTTCTACAGTTTGTTGCTAATTTTGAGAGTGTTTGTGCGACTTTGGTTACCGGTACATCCAAATTATTGGATGGAAAATATGTTAAATCAGAGCAAAAATGGACGTTCGACCTTTGACCCCAAACATTACTTATAAAATTATGGTTTTTATATAATATTTTGTAATGCCTTTTTTTAGTGACTCGTGGTCCCAACAAGCGTAAGATCAAAGTAAATGAAGAGAATCTTGTTGGATTGATGACAAATGATGATGAGGATGAAGAGGAAGATGAAGATTTCACAATCTCAAAAGAGAATGAAGATGACGATGATGAGAGTGAGTGATATTTGTCACATGCACTCACTCAGAAAGAGAGTTGCAGTTCTTAGCACTTCATGGCAGATCCTGCCTTGAACGAACCGATGGCGTCTCTTGTCATGGTTTATGACGCTATTACCGGTATATTCACAAAGTCATGGACCAGATTTTAATTTATCAAGCGGAATTATATCTACTTAAACCTGAAACCCAACCCCAAATCCATCAAATCTGTATCCATAACAAAAATGTTCCAACTTACATAATATTTGTCACCATCAGGGGCAGCTCTGCCATTACAGCCAACATGCCGTGGTAACGGAAGCAAAATTTTACCCGCCATTAGTTTTCAATTTGCTGCCGCGGTAACGCAATCTCGCCATTGGTTTGTGGCAGCTAAAAAGTCAGTCGCCATAGGTTTGGCCATAGCGGCCATGTCGGAGTCGGATCTCTGAACGAAGTACTGAAGTACCGATCGGTACTAAGAATTTATTAAAGAGCCATAGTTTAAAATTATGTGTTACTAAATGTGCTACTCTTAATAAAGCAGTTCATGTCAATGCGATCAGAAGAATGGTTAAATTTTTTGGTTTTTAAATTTTTTACATTCATGATATATACCCATGCTTTTCAGTTATAATTTATACCTACTTACTTAATTTGGTACTCCCAGAGTGTTCTATTATGAGTTCGGGACTGTCTGTGTAAGCCAAGTGAATGTAGGCCCATAGCTTTCAGTCTCTTTACACAGCTTGATGTAAAGTAGTCTCCATATTGGTACACACACTTCTGGAGCGCCCTTAATTTTAATGGTAGATATCTGAAAAATTTTTGATGGCTCGGTCAAGAACTTGAAGGAATCATATTCATTCCATCGCGTGTTAAAAATATCATTATGGGTTTAAAGAGATGCAGGCAATGTCTATGACGGATAACAAGTTGAAAACAATGATTCATCTTTTCGCTATTTCTGATACTTTTATTTCAGGTGACTCTGGAGATAGCAATACGGAGTCATCATCCACAGATGAAGAAGGAAATGAAAGTGATCATTCCAATGAACAAGAAAAATCTTCATCTAAGAAAACAAGTCAAGGGGCATCTTGTTCTAGTTTACAGAAGAGTGAGTTTTTCTTATCTCAATCACTGTTATTTCAGACCTTATATTAAATTACATAGCCTTTTTTGCATGTGCATTCATTATATCTCGGACCAGTAGCCTATTGGTTTTAGTTCAATTATGTCATATAATTAGCGAGTTTTTAATTAATTAGTGATGAAGATATCTGGATTTTTGCAAAGCAAGAGAATGTGTATGACCTAGATTTTTGAGGTGAAAACGCCCATGTACTGAGTGTTTACTTTTAGTTTGTGATTCCACTATTAAAAAGGGGAAAATGTTATAAATTAATATATCTCAAAGACTCAAACAGATTAATTAGGCCTACTCTCCATTTTCACAATCGTGCACTGAATGTGAGACTAACTAAGATGGTATGCAATAATCAGTAGGCATTTGAATTGAATTATTTTTCAGTTATCCATTATATTTTAGGTAAGTTTGTGAAACATTGCAAACCTAAGAAAATATCAACCCAGCAGACAGTGAGGGAACTACATTCACAGATATTTTCAGAATATTATGGATTACCAACTTCTACCGCAGAAATATTAACTCAAGCTAAGAAACAATGGAGACAATCAGAAATTGCTGTAAGTAGCAATAGCTTATTCTGCTGACAAATCCACTTATTCTTTTCATTATTGTTGTTCTGATACAGTAAAGCTAAAATATAGATTGTGGTATTCAGATATTATTGTGTTTCCAATGTTTATAATCGAGCCCCATGAATACGCCTTTCCTGTTAGTTATCAAAAATAAAACGTCTTCTGATCACTAGATTAGTGGAATAAAAAATAAAAATTTATCCAAAGTTCATTGGTGCATGGTGAATTTATTAAGAAATCATTCATGTTGTTCTCAGCATCATACTTACTTACGATTCTCAAATTCAACTAATTTTGGGATTAGCATATTTTCTTACCTGTAGGAGGAGTGACGTACTATTCAGAATTTTTTCTTCGATTCTCCCTTCATTTTGGAACATTTATGTATGAACTATTTTGAACACGCCGATCTAAATATTATATGAACAAGAATGCACCCTTTATTTATATGTAGGTGGAAAATATGGCAACATGGCCTGATGCCATCTGTGCAGTTTGCTTGGATGAAGTAGATACAATGTTTAGAAGTCAGTCATTGACTTGTCAGATGTGTGGTATCTCAGTCCACGAAGGTCAGTTATTACTATTATTATTACAGTAATTAATATTTAAATTTACATTTTAAATCATAATTATGGTGTGGCATATTGACATATGCCTGAAATACTGACCTGACAGTTAGAAATTTCAAAACCTGTGATAGGCTATTTTTCAAACCTTCCACTTTTGCAATGAATAATCATCTATGATGCAAACCTCTTTATTCAACAATCCACATCTTTAAATAGCAATATCAAAGCTTTGCACCAAAGCTAGCGTTTGGCTTAACACGAGTTTCTTTGGGTATTTTGATTTTTCACAAGATACTGATCATTTCCAAAAAAGGGCCATTCCAAGCAAAAGTTGAATTCCATCAATTTTTTAAAAGTGTAGTGAAAGTAATTTTTTTTCATTTTTGATATCAAAAGACATTGGAATTTTATTGGACTGCATTCATTTCATCGAACAATTTAAAATTTCACCTATTTTTTTTGATGGTTTATAAAAAATGGCCCGAAATGTAGAAATTTTGATATAATTGACATATTTTGTGATGATTCCTGACACAAAGTGTTTGATTGTGTGGTACAGTTATTTCATTTGGAATTGACGCACTGGATTTAAGTTAATAAAGTTTAAATGTTTGCAGTGCTTTAGGACATTTCTTCACCCATTTAACGATTTATTACCAGAATTTTAAGAGATGATAGAGGCCGCTATTCTGAAGTGGTAAAATGTCCTGTAGTGTCACATACAATATGCACATTATTGGCATGGATTTACAGTGTTACATTAAGTAACTTCAGCAACACATAGAGGGGTAGTTAAGCTACTGCACCAGAAAATATTATGGGCTCCTACTGTACCATCGCATAAATTTACAGCACAACACAACATACTGTTAGTGCATGGTAGATTTGCCGTCCTGTAGTGTCACGCTATATTTTACTATATTTTTTTATCTGCTAAGTAAGTCTTGGGTCTAACTTTTGTGCAATTATTTACATATTCAATAAAGCAACTGATTGGACAATGAAACAAAACATGTAGCTGAAAATGTAAAAATATATTGCATCGAACAACATGCAAAATTTCTGGAATTGTCCTGTAGTGTCACTTGGAATAGCCCAAAATGTATTATGTAATTAGTCTTATTAACTGGAGATTTTCATAATGCTTCCTGCCCAATTTATAACCTTTAAATATTAAATAATAATATCTTCAATTATCTCACTTTCCAGGATGTTACAATATCCAATTCAAGTCGAATAGCAGAGGGAGTCTTGATGGTGTTTGGATATGTGATTCTTGTGTACAAAGTGGAAATGATAATGTAAGTATTTTGCTAGAGAAATTAAAAAAACATTAACACTTGAGATAAATATATTAAATTAATACCCAACTTTACTGCACAAATTCACTAAACTGCAAAAATTGTTTGAAGATTACTTATTATCACCTCACAAAATAGCACTTGGCATACACCACTAAAAAGTCGTGAACGGAGTTATAGCTTGAAGAGTAAAAAATGGGAAAATGACTATACAAATGGGTACAGAAAACTGGATTCAAAAGGTCAAAGAAGTTTATATGAGGATTAATAATGGTTATATTACTATTCAGTCATTACCGTCCATATGATTCTCATTCACTCAGGTTTGCCAGTTCTGTCCTAACACCTGGGGATGCTTGAAAGAAACAAAATGTGGAAGATGGTGTCATCTCGTTTGTGCCAGGTGCGATTTTGTCTTTTTATTTTCTGCTTCTCTATCATTTACTGTCTATTGCAGCGGTTCCCAAACTTTTTGTTCACGCGTGCCGAATTATCAGGGAAAAAACTCACGACACACATATACGGAAAAAAATTGTTGCCTCAATTTTGTGATCGTTAATGTGTACTTTATGCTTTTTCGAGTTGTAAACACATCGGCGCTAATGAATAAAGGCAATGTCAACTCGCCTTCCTCATCTCTGCCTGATTTTCCTATGAAATACTAAAGAAAAAATAACTCCAATAGTGAATCCATATTGTGTTAGTTAACTCAATGTAACAATATTTTTTAACACCGGATATCATTTTGTTCGCAGGAATATTCTTGCCGACTTTCTATACAATTCACCTTCGAATTCAAGGAAATCTCCCGTAGCCAAAAGCACTATTTATATAAATTTGAACGACTGTAATAATAAAATGTTTGGAGCAAAAGATTGTGTTTTATGTGAAGATAGACTTGTGTCTAAGACAGGTGAGCCAACAATGATATGTTCCATCAAGTTTTCTAATCAATATCAGGAAAATTGAACGTCTTCAGCAGTAACGATTGGTTTTCCTCTTTGAGTATTTCAGTGTTGAAACTTGCTACGCTGGCATCGCTGGTTAAAAATCTCCCTTCAAATCTCATACTCACGCCCAAAAACCTTTGTGCCTACAAATATCTTTAGTAGTCAAACCAAAATATAGTAGGTCTCCCTCCACCTCGAAACAGAGCTGTTCCAAGTGACTCTACAAGACAATTCCAGAAATTTTGCATGTTGTTAACTACAATATATTTTTACATTTCCAGCTACATGTTTTGTATCATTGTCCAATCTGTTGCATTATGGGGTTTGAACAAAATTGCACAAAATTTACACACAAGACTTACTTAGTGGATATAAAATATAAATATATAGTAAAATATAGCGTGACACTACGGGACGGCAATTCCACCATGTGTGTAGCACTGTAACAGTGGTAATAATGGTGATAATGTGCGGGACACGACAAAATTTTTCCACTCTGGAACAGCGGCCTCCATCATCTCCAGAAATTCTGGTAATAAATCGTTAAATAGTTGAAGACAGACATGTCCTACAGCACTGCAAACACCTAATCTCTATTCACTTAAGTCCAGTGCATTTTTTTGAAATGAAATAACTGTACCAGACAATCAAACACTTTGTATTACGAGTCATCAGTCATCAGTTCCATCACAATGTCGATTATATTAAAATTTCTACATTTCATGCCACTTTGTGTAAATTATTATCGAAAACCTGGGTGAAAGTTTAACTTTTTTGTCGAAATGAAAGCAGTCCAATAAGATTCAAGTGTCTTTTGGTATAAAAAATGCAAAACAATTACTTTCACCACACTTTTAGAAAATTGATGAAATTGAACAGTTGCTTGGAATGGCCGGCCCATTGGTGGAATCTTTTACAGGAACTTATTTCTTGTAAAAGACATACATTTTTTTAAACGAATGTCTAGGTTATTGAAAGCCTAGCAAATTTTTTAGTTCTTTTTGTCATATGACACCTTGAATAATGTGATTACCAATTTCGGATAATTTGGCTGATTGAGCAAAATGAAGGGTGCATTAATTCAAAAAAAAGTTATTTGTTTTTCACTTTTAATAAGAATATGATGTTCTATATTTTATTCCTCATTAAATATTAATTTATTCAATCCCAGGAATTTGCATAAAATGTGATGCTGGATTATGCAAATCGACATTTCATGTGACATGCGCTCAACGACATGGATTGCTATCAAAACTTTCAGGATCTGGTGATAATAACAACAACAATAATTTTGGGGAAACTTATTACGCCAACTGTCCTCTGCATTCAAATAAAGAAGAAATGAAAAAACGACAAAAACGGTTTATATTGCATTTGAAAACTTCTGAACTTCAAAAGTATAAGTTGGCTCAAAGAAGTGTGATAGAAAAGGTAGAATGCCAATATTTACTAGCGATAGTATAGCAATAAATATAAATAATATTAATTATGGCATATATGAAATTATTCTGCTTGTAATATTTGCCGGAATAAATACTTCAATATTACCTCTTATTTAAGCCATTGATGAATCGTGCATGAGCAACATCTGATAAATAAATTTGTTTGTCTAAATTGATTGTATAATTCTATTTTTATGTGTGATCAATTTTTCAATCAATCCCAATTTTTAGAATAAAGTCACTGGAAAAACAATTGAATTGAGACAAGCCAAAAGAAAACGAAGTGACACATATATACCGCCAAGACCTCCGTTAGAACAAATACCAAGATTATTGTCATCTGATGCTCATTTCACTCGATTGCTGAATAACAAAGCAGAAAAGATGTTTGGAATTAATACTAAAGTAAATTTGCCGAGTTATTGGTCAATAACAAAGTATTTGTCAATTCTCCTATCTAACTAGAAATAGCAGAAAACTGTTTACGTGATGTTCCTAAGATTGAAGTATCACATAATTCGACCTTTGGCATTGTTTGCCCATTCACCCTATCATTTTGGGGGTTAATACAACCTTAAACAAGGGCTATGGAGTCTGATAAAATTGGCAATTGATGAATGTAGAAACTCTGAACGCCGAGTAAATCAAATTTTGATAACAATAACTTTGGCGTATATAAGGCCTATTACTATACTGACAAGATTGCTTGGTAAAATTGCTGCTTTTTGAGTTTGACTTGAGTCGGAAGTTTTGACTTATTTTATCACCATTGAGAGTCAGAGTCCCGCCTCCAGGGAATTCAAAATTTTAACTTCGACACAAAACACTGCTACCTACCTTTATAGTGTCCTGCGACTATCATTCCCAAGGCAACAGAGATAAGAAAGCGTCATTATGTTGCTCCTTCCTTGACAACTGACTTCTCTGCTTATTTCGTTGATCGTGAGTTAAGAATAGAAGAGGAAAAAAGCTGTCTTTCATCAGCGATCGCAACTAACCGAGGATTATCAGAAGAACAAGAATGGGAAAGACATAAATATAATGAGGTATGTTGGCCGATTTATAGTTGGGTAGTGGAGTGAATTGATAGAGCAATGCGCAAATATATGTGCATGAGGTCAATCATGGGTACCAGCACTGAAAAGTGCGCTCCAGAAGTGTATGATTTTCAAGACCTTGCTCTTAAATTAAAGAATGCTGCCTGAAGAGTGTTTATCAATATACTTGTTCAACTAAAAAATACCAACTTGTATTGCCCCGGCAATAAATGATAAATTTATACCTTTATTGTTTATATTTCAGCATCGTAAAACAATCAATGAACTTAAATCAAATCGTAATGATTTGAAAAATGACTTGGATAACTTAAAACAAATGTTATCTTCAATCGCTGATTGGGCTAGAAGTCCATATTCCCACATTGCTCCAGTGTTAGGGTAAGTTTTTTGCTCAATTCTATATTTTATACTCTCTTGAATGTTGACTGATTTTGTTCTTTATCTAGGGATGTATGAATATTTTCGTTTGGATAAAATGTTGGCTGCTTGAGAAATGATTCAAAATTATAGAATATCCTATGATGATTTTCTAGACTGTCTCAAATGAAATAAAAGCAAATATACTTAGAATTAATAAATACCCTGTCGTAAATTCCATCAAATTTGTTGAACATAAATTTGAATGAAATTGTTGAATTCATTTTTATCTTCATTTGCATTCCAATGTTAGTTTTGCACCTTGTTTGAATATATGACGACTTTGTTAGATTGCATGACATAATTCATTTATTGTTTAAATAGATTAAATATTGCTTTTTGTTTGCTTCAATTATAAAATCAACTGTTAATCAGATCAAAAAGAAGGAAGTCCATTACTCCTCGAAAAATGACTCACTCGTCGAATCTTCAAGTTTCCCCGACTTCTAAGGTGAGAACTTATGGCATCTTTCACTTATATATCTAAAATGAAGTGAAGCAATTTTGTTAAATGATAATACTAAATCAGGTTGACTGATAGTGAAAATAAAGACAACTTAGGAACACATAATGGCTGTAGGAATATTGGATTTTGAGACATTATAGAACTTCCAAACATTTTGTCACGTTTTCTGAGATTTACGAGTGCACTTATCAGTTAATGCACTTTTTATTTGAGTAATCTCATATTTTTCTTGTAAAAAAACCAAATATCCTTATTTGAACCGATAATGGTGAATTAATCGTGACAAAAAATTATTGTTTTCTTATTCAGAGACTCAGCTGGGAAGGGGATGGTATCGGAAGAGATTTGCCAACTTCACCAACATCTCCTGCTTCTAATAAAGATAATATTCCTGATGCCGGTAAGTGTTTTTTTAAACAAACTAGTTCTTGTCTTCATCATACTTTGTCTTCCATATTGACATTTGAAAGCTTACCGATAAGTATCTCTAAAATCTCCTCTAACCATGAAATATGGATATCTGAATAGCTGTTCAATCATACTACAGTTTTATATGTTTGGTGAAAGGTGTCTGTGTTGAAAATAAAGTAACCGCCAGAAAATTCGGTGCTCCAGAAGTATATGTACCAATATGGAGATAAATAATTTTGCTCGCCTACTTTACATCAAGTTGTGTAAAGGGACTGAAACCTATGGGCAGGGGGTATATTCACTTGGCTAACACAGACAGTCTCCGAACTCGTAATAGAACTTGAATAAGGAAAATCGGAATACATTATGGCCTAACCCTAACCTGGTACACACACTACGGGAGTACCCATTTTCATATATTTTTTCATTTTATATTCACTTTAAAGCGCATTGCATCGACCTCTATTATTAAAAAAAATTTTATTGAAAAAATATTTTTCACCTTGCGCATTCAAATTGCCTTGATTTTTTTTAATTCCCATTTATTTACTATTTCCCTACAGAATCTATTATTGAACTGAAAAGTTGTGGGATATGTAACGGACAAGAAAATCAACATTTATTAGCAAAATGTGACGTTTGTAGAGAGTGGCAACATCTTGCATGTCTTGATCCTCCACTAACTCAAATGCCTAAACGAACAAAGTTTTCTTTATGGTAAGGAAACATGTATTATGCTAATTTACATAATATACCCATAATAAGCTTAATAAGTTTGGAAATTGGTACTTTGGAAAAATGTTAGATTTTCAGGTAAGGATAGGGAGATTTTATCACAATGGCCAGAACGTTTGGATAATTTGATTCTGAAAATTGTAATTGAAAAAATGGAAAATGAATTTAAAAATCCCTAATCTATAAAAATACTTTTATCATTTTCGTTACAAAGCATTGACTTATTAAAATTAAATTTTTGTGTCCCGAATTATATGTTTGTATCTCATATTGTTTATTCCTATAACTAGATTCTTGACTAAATTGTTGGGATGACATTTTACTTTTTTATGCAACACTTTCATTATAATTTTTGCCCTGTACGATCAGCCAGTGACTACAACTCGATTGTTGTTAATTAAATTATGACATAAGTTCTTCAGTTATATCAGGCTCCTGTTTTTATGTCTAAAAATGAAGCTGAAGCTTCGGCAACATTGCTATTAATAATCATCTGTTTTAGATTTAAAAAACTCTTTTTATATTTTCTGTATAATGTCACTTTCTAACAGTGAACTTCTCATACAGGCAATGCTCAGAATGTATAGATACAAGTGGTTCATCTTCATCTGATAATGACACTGATAATCATGGTACATTCACTGGTCAAGATGGACGTAGGGTGACAAGAAGATTACGTAGAGTTCCCGATAAACTTGCTGTTGGATTTCCAGATGATAATAAAGCAGTTACAAAGACAACAAGCATGGTATTTTATTTATTGAATGATACCTAGGTTCAGTTTGAAGTCTACGTCCCCCTTGAGACCTGCTTGTATATAAGGAAGCGATAAGTGGTAAATTAGGGATTGATAATACAGTAACCTTTGATATATCCTCAGTACGTAGCTTGAGTCTGATCTAACTCTATAAAGTAGTTGACCTTGCACTATTTTAGCGCAGAATGCAATTTTATTTGAATATTTTGAAGACTTGTACTAAATACCAGCGGTGCTGGCTCGTACATTTTTCGGCGCTCCAGTAGTGTGCAAACCAAGATGGCAGACACCGGAACATAGTATGTGTACCAGGTTAGGGTACCAGGCCATAATTTCATTCCAATTTTTCTCATTTTAGTTCTATTACGAGTTTGGGGACTAGGCAAGTGACTCCCGTAGTATTTACACCTGAAATTATGGCCTAACCCTAACCTGGTACACATACTATGTTCCGGTGTCCGCCATCTTGGTTCACATACTACGGGAGTACCCATTTTTCTTGCCACACATTTCATTATACACAACCTCTCAATACTACCATATATAAGTATGAAATATTAATAATACTACATTCGAACACAAAAGTAAAAATTCTTCAGTTACGACAATTGAATTCCTCCCCAGCTGATGAACTATAGTCTAACTTCTTCAAGAAAACAAGATATAACCTAATAAATGATAAATCGAATCAAAATTTTTTATAGATTGGACATACAAAGTTGGCAAGGAAAAGAAGAAGAAAAATGCAAGAAGCATTGAAAAAATTTAGGAACAAACCTGAGCTTAAACAAAATATAGGAATGGAGAAAGGTTGGTTTATTTTCCTAATTAAAGCATTTACCGTAAATCCGTAATCCACTTCATACATTTCAACTTTCAGCTTATATTGAAATATTCCATTCTTTTCTGGTATTAACAAAAGTCCATAAATATTTTGATTTGAGGAATATCAGTTGGATATTTTGGCTAATGATAATTCCCGAATATTGATTTGGAGGACTGTCATTTTATTGTGTGTGCTATTGACAAGCTGTATTGTCTGCCAGCAAAACTTAGTTTTTTTACGATTCTATAAAAAGTTGCTTATGATCTAATTTAATTTATAAGTGACTATACCTAGGTGTAGTTAGATATGAGTTGTGTTCGATCGCAGCATTGTCCGAAATCTATAAATGTTCAACTGATAATAGACTGAAGTTACTGTATGTAGACCTAGACATTTCAATAATATCCGTATAAATTTCTAATATTTAATTTTAAATTATGCCAAAGATTCCCATGTTTGCTTCTGTGTAAAAAATTATAATTTGTTATTTCTGTATTTTCATTCTGCTTTATTGTGTTTGTTCATTAATACTGCACTTTTCCAGAAACTAGTGCGACTGTCAGTACACCATCAAATTCATTTTGGATCCAGACAACTGGCTCAAAATCTTTTATGGAAGATGCAAAAAGTTAGTATTTGAAGACTCTTACCATATTTTTTATTTATACAATCATACATACGAATTTTATTCTGGTAGCTATATGTTCAAATTGTTTTAACCGTGTCTCCCGACCTCGCCAGGGGGGAGTTTTGTCAATCATTTTCGTGCATAGTGCGGGACAAATTGAGATTATTTCAAAATAATGAAAGGTTGGAAACCACTGGTTAGACCAGGGGTGTGCATCAGGCGGCCCGCGGGCCGTAACTCGGCCCGCGGGCCATAACTCGGCCCGCCAATACAATAAGTGTGGCCCTCGTCAACACTCAGATATTTTCCCACAAAGCATCAAATTCTAACCCCTGACAGTTTATGTTTAAAAAAGCGCACACACGGGTCAAAATCCATAATTTTAAGTCTTTTGCCTTTATTACTGTAAGACTAAGCTATAGCCTTTTCGTGGTGAGAATTTTTTAATTTATTGTGCACCCGAAAGAAATTGAATTTTTTGAATTGCCCGGCGAGATGTCAGAAGTTGGTTATATGGCCCGCCGACAAAAAATGTTGCACACTCCTGGGTTAGACAAAGTTTTTCCTAACATATAATTATAAGATTTTTTTTATGAAATTTCAGATTAATTATGGTTCACTTATTCAATTGCCTAATTTACAGGGTAAAGCAGTGGCATATGTAATTGTATGAATTCTTGTCTATGTCCGATTTCTATTTCAACTCTGTGTTCTGCATTGATTTGTTTGTATTACTTTTTCACTTATTTGCTAATGCAGAACGGCTAGTTCCCCACCTTCTTCTTCTAATTTCAATGTTTTCCATAATATTTTATCAATATTTTTCCAGAATCTTTACCATTTATTGTATCGGGTCAATCTAAGCTTCAAACAGATTTACAGAAGTCACTGAATAAGTTACAATCAGCAAAAGTGAACACTAAAACATCATTCAAATCTGGGAACACTATATCTAGTATCTCACATAAACCTGTCACAGCTGGCTACCAATTGAACAAATCTAATAAGGCACTGGTCTCTAATGTTTCCAGAACAATGAAATCTTATACTGCTAGTAGGCAAATGCGAAAAATCATAATTTTAAAAAAGCGTATCATTTCACCTCATCGACCAATGGGATTGGGAAAAGCGAAAAAAGTACTTTCCATTCCTTCGAAAGAAATTAGGAAAGTATTAATTCCGGTAAAAACACGTACAGTCAATGCTGCTACAAGTAATGCAATGACGGGTGAGGTGAAAAATTCACCAGTTTTAAATACTGAGAAGCTTACTACGGTAGCTGCACCACCTGAAGCCAGGCTGAACATGATGAAGAAGGTCACACAACCTGAAAAAAAGAATCAGGTCAAAAAATCAACAATTCCAGTTAAAGTGGAGAAAAAAATTCGGTATTGTGATGTATGTAATAAATGTGATGATGAAGTACATATTGTTAGTTGTGAAACATGCAAGAAACATTATCATTGGGAATGCTGTGATCCACCATTGAAGACAAATCCAGTAAAGAAATGGATGGCCTGGTAAATTTTTTTATAACTTTATTCCATATAGACTGTCAATAGGGCGCTCCAGAAGTATGTGTACCAATATGGAGGTAACTAATTTTTTTCGCCTATTTTGACATCAAGTGGTCTAAAGGGACGGGAGCCTATGGGAAAGGGGATATTCACCTGGCTGACACAGACAGTCCCGGAACCTGTAATAGAACTAAAACAACGAAAATTGGAAAACATACCATGGGAGTACATCAATATCTGCCACTATAAATGTACTGTATTTGAAAGTGTATGCCAGTTGCCAAAGTTTCGAATATTCTATTCTTTTTACACATTATTTGCATACTTCGAAGCTGCTTTTTCTTTTGGAAATAGTTACCTTGTTTGAGTTGTCAGTAAGCAAACTAGCCTAAAATTGATACATTGTGCCGAATTCATTTATCCAAAAACAAGACTTGAAAATTCTTTATTTTTTTCAGGGAATGTTCGAATTGTGTAGACGAGAGAGAAGAAAAAGAAGAAGAAGAATTTGATAAAGAGCAAACTATCGATGATGAAAGCACAGCAGTGGCATCGTCTGGTCGTCGAGTTATAAACCGAAAACGTAAACCACCTCAAGTCTTTGAACCTGACTTCAATGTGGTTAGTTTCATTATTCTTTGTACCTAATGTAATTTATTTGATACTGCTTGATTAAATGTTGATTAGAACAAAATATTTGATTTGATAACTTGAGTATATATTCGGAGTATACCTTGTATATATATGCTCGTAAGATTGGTCATTCAAAATAAGTTGCAATAACCATAGAAAATAACTATCTTTGGTGCTCCCGAAGTATGCGAACCAAGATGGCGGACATCGGAACGTAACAGGTTAGGGTTAGGCCATAATTTCTTTCCAATTTTCCTTATTTTAGTCCTATTATCAGTTCGAAGACTAGCCAAGGGCCTCCCGTAGTATTTATACCTAAAATTATGGCCTAACCCTAACCTAGTACACATATTACATTCCGATGTCCGCCATCTTGGTTCGCATACTTCGGGAGCCCCCTATCTTTAATATAAAGAATTCTAATTTGTCTTGATGTCATTTCACTCCAGTTTAAATAATAAACAGTTATGGGTAAAGATATAAACTGTTTAGTTATGTCTATATAAAAGTATATTAATGTGCTCATATTACATCTTTAGTAGTAAGTCATATTGCATGTGGCCGCGAAAAATCATTTTTTATAATACCTCACTCAAAACCTTGAGTTCCTAGTTAATTTAATAACTGGCCTCTCATTCTAAAAAATGCCCTCTGGAATCAGCCACTGAAATGTAGTGCACTGCTACTTTTTGAAGATCAGAATCTTCACGCCAGTCGCCAGGTATTGCCTATCAAACCCTGGGTAAGGTGGTGAGCCCCTGGGGAATTTGGATTTGATATCTGGAACCTGCGATGCCACAGTAGTTTCTTTAGTCGAACGCATAAATCAAAATCACATCAAACTATTTTTTTATTTAAGACTTCTTTGTTTTTTTGTTTTGATAACTATTACTTTCGTTTCACAGTCTACACAACAGAAGATATTTCGTTCCATTGCAAAACAGAAGTTACGGAAGAAAGGGTCTTCCGTTATACAGCGAACTCCAGATGGCAACAGGAATAAACTATTTGGTCATCAAACAAACATGGGAGAAGCTGCAGCTCGTTGTCGACCAGTTGAAAACAGCTTGAAACTTTCTTCTTTAAAATTCACATCGGCGTATTCTAGCACTACACCAAAAATTTTGAATCCAGAATTACTTCAATCTACACCACCACAGTCTTTAAAAATGTCTCCTCCTGTTGTTATTTTACCAGCTTCTACCTCAAAAATTAAAGTTCTGAATTCTTTATCGGGTTTGGATTTTGCCAAATTTAAAACAATATCTGTCATTAAGTCTTCCATGCCATTTATTGCCAACTCACCACCCAAGACGGATAGTCCAAACATGCCTGTGACTAGTAATGCTGATATATCTCCACCAACGAAAAATTAGCAAAGGAGAATCTACGTTCTTCAAATAAAAAAACTTTTGTCTGCAACATAACATGGCTTTCCAACTTTTTTATTGCACTTTACGACACATAGATTTATTCGGTTGCTGCATACCACTTAAGTTCACCTCAAAGAACACATACATCATAATTACTTTGAAACATTTGGGAGCTTGTTACTCGAATTATTATCCAGCACTCTAGTTGGAATATTCGGTTGTGAACTGTCGTGCTTTCACAAATATGCTACGGATGAAAAATGATGCTAATCGGGCTAGCTAGCCCATGTGACTACGTTACATTATATACATACTTGCGTATATTACAGTTGAAAAACAAAAGAAAATTAACTGTAGCGAGTTTACATTATTACATTTCTCTGTGGAATTTTTTTCATTTCAATATTTGTAAAACATAAGTACAATTTCGAAGCTTGGTAGCATGTCCACAAAAGGTTGGGACCATGGTTTTCGAACTTATGAGATGGCATGTTCATTAATAACAACTGAAACGAGAATATCGGTTGGAAACCGAAGACTTATCATGGTTTTCGAACTTATGAGATGGCATGTTCATTAATAACAACTGAAACGAGAATATCGGTTGGAAACCGAAGACTTATCGATTGATAGTTAGGGGATCCCCCAAAACAGAAACTGCAGTTTTGATTCATCCACTCTTGTAAATTGCGCACTGCGCATCGCACACACACACTCGGCGGGTCTCAAAATTCTCTCGGTTTACAAAAATCTAGATCACTATATCAATAGTTGATTGATAACTCGCTAATTATACGACATAATTCGCCCAAAATCAATAGGCTTCTGGTCCGAGATAAGATGAATGCACATGCAAAATCTGGAGCAGATTCAATCTCGCTTTCGTGAGATATCGCGTGCATCTAACAGACAGACAAACAAATACCTATCAACATACTTACCGATTAAAATCGATAAGTAATAAATTGTCCTTGGCTACTATGTATGTATTTTGAAGCGAAAGTATATTAATTTCCATACTAAATGGAGAAGAATCTGAAGAGTCTTTTTTTTACTATTCTTTTTTTGTGTAATATCATGGAAGCATTTTGCTTGGAATATACGTCCTTGGATAGATAAAAGTAATTGAAAATGTAGTGTCTCTCTATGACACCAAGATATGGCGGATACTTCGCTATGTTTTTGTAACTGAAAAGATGTGCGAGTACAGTAGTTGTTTTTCGAGTTTTTTTTTCTCTTCGGATTGACGTTAAATCCCAACCTATGAATATTTGTTGACTCTACTGATTAGTATAAAATCTTGTTGCTATTTTCGGATTAACGAGAACATTATTCCATGCATTGTTTGTTTGGAATAAAATTCAGGAGTAGGTATGGTTATGTGGTCCCAATTGTCATTTAAATGGCCTCCTACTTTGTTTGATATTCACCGTACTTGCCAATGACAACAGTACTGATATAGTACTATTATTACAATTTGCACCATATGTTTTTAGTGCTCTTTACATTACTTGCCTTCTTTTTAATTGTATGGTATTTTTTACATGATTAGACCTGTAAGGCATTGCCAGAGGGGTTTTGTAGACTTTGAAGTGTTGTGCTAGCATTTGTAAATGTCTCCCTAAATATGTTAGTATTTCGGTGGTTGAGAACTGTTGAAATCATAATTGCCAAAGCTACAGTCATTGACAAGTCTCCAACGAACGTAGAATTTTTTTAAATACTAAAACTGAAATATGATTGTTTTTAGCTGGTTTGCTAGAAATTTGGTTCTTATCCTTCTTTGTTTGACAAGTTTTTTCTGGTATTATACTTTCTCCTAACCAGCACATCAATTTCTGTTTTATACACATATTTTCTTGATTTTGGAAATAAATTTGTACAAAAGTAATGTCGGTTTGCTTCACGGAAAAGAGGACTTGCACAGAAACTTTTATAAGTATTAAGCAGGATAGAGCAAACCGGTTCTTTCAATGTGATATCGGCTTAACTGTTTTTGTTTCAGGAGCTTGTGGTAAACTTGTTCTTAAAATTTTGAATCCCACCACTAGCATTAAGTCATAATATTAAGTAATTGTAATTCAGTTGTCTTCTGAGGCGTGAAATTACCAGCGCCATATGAATTTGTGAGACTATCTCTATTTTTTGTAAGAAGATTCTTAGAATTTCATAAGTAAATGAAGAATATGAATTGTCCGTGACAGGAACATCGTTGAAGTCTCATGTACAATAGTTTGATGCTAAAATATGAGGAGTTTCACATATTCCTTTTGTACAAGTAGCTTTCTGCAAAATCAAAGTATCCCTGCACAGCCTATGTGTTTGATGACACAGTGGACTAGGAGCATAGATGAATAAGATTTATAACATGTGGCAAGCAAGTAATAGTAACAGGGTACCATGTACAATAGTTTGATGCTAAAATATGAGGAGTTTCACATATTCCTTTTGTACAAGTAGCTTTCTGCAAAATCAAAATATCCCTGCACAGCCTATGTGATTGATGACACAGTGGACTAGGAGCATAGATGAATAAGATTTATAACATGTGGCAAGCAAGTAATAGTAACAGGGTATCTGACTGGGATAACGAGCCTTCATGCAGTGTTTTATTTCTATTGGTCGGTCCTTTTTAGGAGAATGCATTTCTTCCAGTATTTCTCACGTACCCGGAACGAGTGCTGTCATATTAAAACTCATAACTAAACAGTTATAAGTTATTTTAAACTGTAACAAGTCCCTACCTTTAAAAATTTATTGTTCCTGTCAGCACTGCTGTGAACTTATGTTAGATTAACAGGACATCAAATGCATGAATTTATTTATTGCACACTTATCCTGAGGTAACAATTTGCTCTATGAAGCTTCGACAATCGGATCATGGGTAAAACACAGGCAATATCAAGAAAACACTAAAATGACTGACAAATATGGTATACAATGACAAGAATAAAAACTAGCTAAAATCATACAATACATCAAAATAACTTGGGTTAGTGGTAACCTTGGATTTGGGAACACATCAATTCAAAAGATTTAAAAATCACTATAAAACATAGTGCCAAGATAATAAAGAGTTAAAACCAGAAAACAGCTTTCTGTTGAGTAAAACAACAATGATAAAATTGTAATCAAAACAAGTGAAATTTTAAGAATGAAAAATAAAAGTATAGTGCCCAAATAAAGTGATTTTTGACATAAATCGCTCCAAAGAAGGCACTTGCATCAATTCACAAAAACTCTAGTAAACAAATAGATCAATGAGCAAGCAATGTTCTGATGAGTAATCAGGCATACTCATCAGACACAAATTATTTCTCCCTGAGTAAAAGTATAGTATGACCAAGTGATATAGCAACTTGAATAACATTATGACATGACATCATAACAAAGAATTCTAACTTTGATATCTATCTCTATTTATCTTACAAGATACAGGCAGAAATCATTGTATCATTGCAAAATCTTGATATTAGGAATAATTCGAAATATTTTTTTTCAATTTGTTGCTTCTTTTGCATTGAGTAGTTTAGGCACTGCAGAAAATTGAAAATCAGTCCAAATTATTCTGTAATAATTCTGTAAATTCAATAACTATAAATAACTGATGATTTGAGCATGCTATCTATTGAACATGGCTTAATCTAGAATATACATTCCCAATATGGAATATTGAAAATATTTCACAGAATGTATGCGGAATAGCAGAATGTATAAATTTATTCTTCTCCATTGATGAGAGGCTCATGATCAATATTTTTGTTTCTTGATGGGCGGTAGAGAATGTAATGTTGGATCATGAATAGAATATCAAACAAAACTGAGAAGAATCCGAGTCCAAACTTTGTTGGGTCTCCAAAGACCAAGTCCCACTCATCTAAAAAAAAAAGAGTAGTAAAATGGCATCAGACGAAAAATTTTCATAGTCAGCGGGTATTGATACAAAAAGCAAATGTTCCATAAATCACACAAATATATTGCTTTTTAATGCGTTCCAGAAGTGAGTGTACCAATATGGAGGTAACTAATTTTGTTCGCCTACTTTACATCAAGTTGTGTAAAGAAGGCGGAAACCTATGGGCAGGGGGAATATTCACTTGGCTAACACAGAAAGTACCCGAAATTGTAACAGAGCTAAAATAAAACAAATCGGAATAAAATTATGGCCAAATCTGATACACGTTCTACAGGAGTACCGTTTTAGAAGTAATATTTTCAATGTAATTTACTACATTAGTCGATCAAATCACAAAAAATGTTCATGACTTATACAGGCGTGATTTATGTTGTGAATTCGCTCGATTCCAAATTAACAGTACATTTTATGTGCCTACATTTGACAGGCATGAATATATAAAACAGATAAACATGTAAGCATGCATCCTGTGATGGCATATTGCCCCTTAATAAGATGGAAGCAGTGACAAGTGCTATATCCTCCCATTGACATATGGAAGGAAAAACGGCAAAGTGCATACAAATCTGACCAACAAAACAATGAGATGTTTGAGTTTTTGTTGCTCAGAATAGTGTCTATATAGTTGTATATAGGCTATATATATAGTGACTTGTATTTGCAATGTCCTGATTTCTTTGTAGACAATTGAAACTTTGTTTGTACTATATCGTTCACTTAGTAAATATACCAACAACTTGCTATTTGCTTACCATTATTGTACGACTGCAGTATCATTTGCAATATACTGAAAGAACCTCCTGTGAAATCTAATAAAACATTTCCTATGCTCCATCCTTCTGTACTTTTTCTTCGATAGTTCATGTATGCCTAAAAATTATTAATAACATTGATTAAAATGTCTGTGCATCAAAAGACTAAAATTTCAACCAATTCTGAAAACAGTTATAAATATTCCAGATTTTTCAGTAAAAAATGTCTTTTTTGTAACATGATTTTCATAATACACAAAAAATTTGGATACCATTACGATAGAGGGTGCATAATCGAATGAATTGCATTTTTTATTTTAAAATTATCTGATGCAAATTTTTCTAGTCCTGGAACAATCTTGTTGTGATCTCATCTCGGAAAATGAAAACTCCCGAATTCGTAATAGAACTAAAATGAGGAAAATCGGAATAAAAATCTGGCCTAACCCTAACCTGCTACAGGAGTACCGAACGCTTTTTTATTTACCTGAGGAATATATTTGATGAGAGTGATTGCTAATTTGACATAAGAGAAGATATTCAGATAGAGTAGCCAAGATATCTTTCCGGCGACAGCAACGAACAATAGAATGAAAATTCCTGTGATTGCAACTGACAGCAAGATCATTGCTAATTTTGAGACTTTTTGATTTCCGCGCTGCAAAAAAGTTGATGAATGTTTATGAAACATGATAAGAGAAAAAAGGGAAACAATGATAAATATCAGTTAGACAGGATACTAGTTTGGGAAAAATTGTAAATTGGAGCTAAAATATCGAAAATATAATCAAAGTGTATATATTTATCAGTTTGTGAGGGTTCAGAAGAAGTATTAGGGTTCTTCAGGGTACAATTCACTATCATATGAACGATGTATGATTATAATTGTCAACATGTTTGTCAAAATATCAAAAACATTTGGTAAACAAACATTAGTACTTTGCACACTAGAGTAATCACAAATATCTAACTCAGTGATAATTGAAGAACCATTTGAACTGACTTGATACTTTCAAAATAAATTATCAGATTCCACTATTACAAATTCCGATTTTACAGATTAAAAATAACACAAAATCTAGTGATAGTCAGCAACTTTTAACTTAATCATAATGTCATTTTAGTAAAATATTAAACAGAACTTGTAAAATAACTAACCTCATATATCAAACATTGAAACAATGTAATTATTGTCAACAGAAAAGCATGTAGGGCAAATACTACATCATTAATTTGAACTGGATTAACACCATCGGGATGTTCTTCTAAATACAGCTCCTGTAAAAACAGAAAAGAAATGAATGTATCATAAAATCAAACAAAATAGTGATATTGAGCGAGGCAAAGGTTGTATCACATTTTTATTCTGTAACATTTTGACTGACCAAAGTCAGAAAAAATGTCTATTCAGTAAAACTACAAAATTAAAAAATAAGGAAATGGCAATGGATATTTCTTCTATAACTTTACAACTTTGATCAGATGAAACAATATAGAATAAAATATTTGATGCATGACCTTTGGACCACTCAATACAAAACCGTTTTGATTCTCACTGCAGTATCTTCCAAGTATATCGAAACAGTAAGCGCAGCGCTTAATAAGATAACAAACAATCGCACAGAAGATAACAAACAATCAAAATGCCAATTCTATTTCGTTGTCATCACAAATCACAATACGTGACCAAGTACAAAAAATAGTTTGAAGATTTTCCCCGAAAACAAAACAATTTGCTGGCGGCGAGAGGAATTATTCGAAAATTAGCTGAAAAAGTATTCGAAAATTTGATTCATTTTGGACAGGCCTGATAGTGACTTTCAGCAAATAACTAGTATTCATGCACAAGCAGTGAGAACAAAGTTCGAAGAGTTGTATCACTACACTTTTATCCGTTATTTATAAGCGAAGTATAGTGTTTAACATATTTCAAATTATTATGAATGAAAAGAATTTACCTTGATTTTTGGAATCCAATAAAGGCCAACATTATAAATTCCATAGGCAAAAAATCCAAGTGCATTATACGCAACAAAGTCAAAATTCAATCCAATGACACTGAAAATGAAAAATAATATTATACACAGTTCATTCCAGTTTCATATCAATCAAATGGAGCCCAATCTGAGATAAATCGAAAATATTAAAATCTATTACTACTAAGAAATTTGAGTATTTGTTTATTTTTCCACAATTCTTCTTGAGCCAGATGAAAGGCCTGTTACCTACAAGGCTACAATGAGTGTTGTAAGACTAAAATTTCAATACTTTTTTAACAAGACACTTAAAAGCACTTATTCTTTTAAAAACAGAAAGCGTAATACAATATACCGAAACAGGTTAAAGTAGAAGATCTTTCATCTCTAAAATAACGAATAAAATAAAGAATATGTCTCACAAAAACAATCATGAAGATTTTGCCATGAGTAATGAAGAATCATTGTGAAATGGTCGAAATTTCTATAATCGAAAATTTTCTCAGACGTAAAACCAACTTCTGAGTAAATGCCTATTTGATTTGAACAAAGCTCCTTCGAAACTTTAATTTTGGAAAATTTTGGTCAAATTTGGAATATTGGACTAGTGTCCCTAGTCATTTTAAAATACAAATGAAAATTTTCTAATTATTCTCTCACCTTTTTCTTTGAAAATTCAAAATGGCTTGAGGATAGAAAGATATCGACCAAGCAAAGAAATAAATCCAACCGATAACATCAATCACAATAACAAGAGCATGAAGATGAACAACATGAACTTCTATCCTTGGTTGATTTTTATCCAAACTGTAAACAGAAAAAATCGATGTTTCATTAAATACCTAAAATGCTGCAATGCTGTGTAGCAGATATATTTTTGAAATTCAAGTTTTGGGATAAATTTTTTACTAGTATTTTCACTAGTATTCAAGTAAAGTCATGCTACCTGATATTACAAGATTGACTTGTCTCATTCACCGATAGGAATGCTTGACCCACAAATAATCCATAAACTGGAACATCAACTTTTGTGTTATTTTCTTTAAAAATTATCTGAAAAATAAAAAAATATTTGTACAATGGATTGCTGAAAAGCGAACTCAACAAAACAATATTGCTAAAAAAATAAAGCAAGGAATATTGCTTGTTGAACAAAAGGTGTTTCAGAACAGCAAGGTTAGATGATTAATATGGGGATTACAAACAAGGAAAGAGTCCATGAACAAATAAATGAACGTGTAGTACTGTAGTGTTTCACTGTCACACTATCGTATCGACCAGCAAAAAATTTGCTCAAAAGTAGTATGATCTGGTTTAGAGGAAAATTATAAAAAAAATGGCCTTCTGAAAGACATTTACATTTAAATGCGAGAGAGCTGACACCCAAAACAACAACTTGGTAGAATATAAAACAATTGGTAAAACCCTTCCGCATTGAAAAATTATAGAAAGAAAAACATGAAACGAGATATCGATCAGAGACTACCGACTTATCGATCTAGTGCCGTGTATCCTTCGCTGTGACTCGATAGCGACACCGCGCGCCCCAATCACTAATTAATAAATAACTCGCTCATTATACGACATAATTCATCAAAAATCAATAGGCTTCCGGTCCGAGATATGATGAATGCACATGCAAAATTTGTAACATACAAACCGCGTAACATACAAAAGTATCTAAGAGACAAATACTTATCAACATACTTACCGATCAAGATCGATAAGTGAAAAGCCAACAAAACAGAAGGTTAATCAAGTAATACAAAAAGTCAAAAATAGTATTAGTAGTACAATATCAATTGGGTTGAACTATATCACAGAAAGACAAACATCTTTAATAAAGTGTTCTATCCATATTCACAACAATTGCATAAACACGTTGATAATAAATGAAGCACAACCGGTGAACAAATCCACATGAGTTTACCTGGTGGCAATCATGCACAATAGCATAAACAACTTATTCATTATTCGAATACAACTTACAGTTGAATTGAATTTAACAGGCGAGGAATCATTTTTGCTTTGTGAATGAACATGAACTGTCTCAAGATGCAAAATCACTTCACAATGAGGTGGAGATGATGAATGAAATCGTAGGTTCTTCGTTTCATTTTTTTCCAAGTTGAGCGATGTATCCCAAGTGATAACAGCTGAAATTAGAAAATAAAATACAAATTAACAATTAGAAAAAGTTTCAAAATCGATCTTGTTAAATACACATGAATCCAATAAAAAATATCAGATATCCAATGAATACATTATATCAAATAATTTTACAAAATTTCTACAAATGTATCTTAATACAAATATATCAGTAGCTAAATGAAACATACGATTGGTCTAATCAACTTTCTGACTTCAGTACAATTCAGCAAACTGACATCATCAACCCAACAAAGAAACATGACATTGCAGCATTGCCATGTACTGAAATCGCAGCAGCATACTTGGACTACAATGAAATTATTCTGAACTGTCATGCATCAGGTATTACTACAAGTGGTAAAATCAGAATGTCTGAATGTACTAAATTCAGAAAGTTGATTAGAAAACTTACCTACTAACTCAGCTGAACTGTGAGATTTGTTGCTTACAATTACAAAATTATAATCATTAACAAGATTAAAACTTCAACTTAGACCTAGCCTATGTAAATATTTTGGTATCACTGTATCACCTGTTTCAGAATCCACAAGTTCCGATCTCACTGTGCATGCCAACAAAGCAAAAACCAATGGCTTCAAACTCCAGTCGAATTCATGGGCCATTTTCACTATTTGCAGGACGTTCATTCACCAGAATACTCTGATAGCTGGTTAGTAGACGCTGACTATCGCAGTATTGGCAGATTCAGAGATTGGTGTACGTGTAGAGGGGAATGTTACCGGTACCGCTCTTCAACTCTTGTAGTGTATACTGGTATAGTCAGACGGCTTCCCTTAAGCTTTACCATAAGCTTGAATACAAACTATATCTCCTACATTTAAATTACAAATTTATATACCTCCACGAATTAACATAATTCATTAAATCCTATTCATTACTTATTACAGTGCAAGAAAAGCTGCGAAAAACAAAAGTTGAAAACACCGGTGCTAAATCCCTTCACAGAACACAGCGTGACTTCGCAATAAAAACAGCTGAGATCATACAAAGTCATGTGAAACATTGCGTCATTTCGATATTTGTAAACATATCGCACTGTGCTATAGTTTAATCACGGGCGCCTACGGGCAGTCGTTGGAACTAGCAGCTTCAAACAAAGATTCTTATTATGAATTACACATGTACATTGCTTATTTCAAAGTTCGTCTCACATTAAATAGGATTCATGGGTCAATTCAGACTCATGGGCGAAACTTAGAATTAGTTTCAAACACAATTCAGTGTTCCCCAACTCATATTACCTTTACAAGGTTAAAACACCCATGACAGCCACTGAAACACGTTCGTGTTGTTGTATTGAAAACCCGAACACAAGAAAATATGGAAACCGCTCTGACAGACGGAGTCCGTGGAAGCAAATATTGGCATTCCGCCTGTTTATTGATCTTCAATATGTTCTGGTTACAAACTTGCACTCTCTGCTTGTCATTCTCTACAGCTTACTGAATTCACAATTCCAATTCAGCAAAAATCCTGATGTTTTACAAGTATTGAATAAACCTGAAATGATTTATTGACCGATGACTGGGGAGTTGAATTTGAAACCTGATTACATAGCCCTTGTCGTTTAGCCACTATAAAATGATTGTTCACCTGACAGTGAAATATGTATACCGTATATATCATGCCGTTACCGATATGATTAAAACCTACCGTTCGCGAACATTCAACCGTACTCAAGCATATATTTTCCGGTGTCCGCCATCTCGGTTCACATACTTCGGGAGTACCCAATATTGAGCCTAACATGACTGATAATTGCTTCCAGTTTTATATTTTTGATTGTGACCAATTCGGTAGTGTAGCAAAGTCAAGGCGCAAATTTAAATTGAAGATGTAGCAACAGATTTAGACCGTGGGGAAAATGATCATGACAGTGGTTATCAAAGCTGACGAGTAACTTCCGTAATATCGATGAGAGAGAGAGTTTATTTCATTTTGTCAAACCAAGAAAACAATTTATGCACACATAAACAAATATTAAAAAAAATAGTTTTCGGTATATGACTGGGGGGCAACGATACGACCTTTGGGGGTCATCAGAGTCAGTTGCCACCCAATTATATTAAATAAGCATAAAAATAACAGGTTCGTGTCAATATTTCAATGTCTCTCACGATTTATACTATGTACAATATTTACATGAATTTACTATTCTTAATTATGGAAGCATTCTTTTAAATAATAGGATTTTGCACAAATTGAAATTTTATTGCAAAATATAAAATGATCAAAACGAAAAAAAGTGGGAAAGCAGGTCAGACAAGCTACCCCTTATTTGGGTAACTTGTTTTATTGAATGAATTTAAGTTAAACATAACAAGTGGGATTTTGAACAAGCGAATATGGGTAGAGTTCTATTCTACACACACTAGTGCAATGTAATCAGATGCATGGGTTGAGTCATCAAAACAAATTAGAATTTGGTTTAAACAACAAAATGTGGACTGACACTGTGGATTAACAATTCAAGGAATCCAGATGCATAACAAAAGAATGTTAGAACAATAGGCTCCAGCGGTTCGTGCCCATCCATAATTGTTTCATGTCCTGAACTGATCCGTAGTCAGTATCCTATAGCCTGGGTTACGCTATCGTGCTTATTTCTAAGACTTGTGCTTATTTTCTAGCTCGCTACTTACGTGTGTATGTTTATTCGTCTCGTAAAAGCAAAAACACAGGAGTTAGTAAATATCAACATTGAAGACGGGATGTATACACAAGACCATACTGGCCTAAAACACATGAACGTGCGGCATACACGTTATAAAGTAACTATGTGCTTATTTCCAAAAGTGCCTTTTTTGTCTTAGAAACATGGATGACTCGTTGTTTGTGTTTTGCGTACAAAGCTTTCGAGGAAACGAGGGAAGATGTTATGATTATACGCAACGCGTATTTGCACTCCGCTGCGTTATTATTGTGACGTCTCAATTATCCACAATAAATGCTGCTAGATTTTAGTGATACTGTTTTCAAGGTCAATCCACTGACATTGAGTAAGCGTAAGCACGAGTTCCGTTTTGAATATGAAAAGAAAATCTGCTAATGCCAAACAAAGTCGAGAGGCTAAAAGCTATGCTCAGTGCTGCAACTGTGACAGTGATATCAATGTAGAGGTAGAGGCCATGGGAAAACAGCTATTAGTGCCCGCAATACTACCACAAAACATAAGAATTTTGCAAGAAACATTAAAGTATGAAGACTTCAAAGATTGCGTGTGGCTGTGACTTCGTGCCTTTCCGTGGCTTTGGCGATTTCGAGGCTGCATACAACCTTGTTCGAAGCGACTTCTAATCTAAGGATGAGTGGATAAAAGATACCCCCCAAAATAACCTTTTGACACCCGTGCTTATTTTTAGCTTTAGGTAGATGGTAACCCTTTCTATAGCGCTGGGCTACTAGTTATTCATTTTTGCAGTTAACGTTATTTTTCTGCCTAAAAATCTTCCATTCTTCTCGCTCTCTCGTCATCCCTTTTCACTTTGGGAAATTTAAAAGGCCGTATCGGAGATCTGTTATCAAAAAATTCCAAAAACTATCATCCATCCATTAATATACATCTTGGGTTATAAAATAACATGGAGGACCCACCGTGATGACAAGTTGAACTCGAAGATATGCTATTGTATATGGATTATTTGTCAATTTAAAGTTAAAAGTGTGTTTTTTTTGAAAAATACAGTTTAAAACTTTTTTTCTGAATTGCTTTCATCATTGACGTTTTTTATGTGGTTTGCCAAATTGTCAAATTTCACCCATTTTCTGAAAATACTGAACAATCTATATTTTAACTCACACGGATGGCACTTGGTACGAAACTGTTCACACCAATCATGCAAATGTAACAGGACACCTCCGTGCAAAAATTGAGTAGCATAACGCCAAATGAAATTGAATTGTTCACGTATAAATTCAAGTGTGTTTGTCAATAATATGTGTTATTTTGATATTTTTGAAAGTATAGGGAAGATGCTTTCGTTGAATTCGAACAATAGAATCGCTAAGTATTGCCTACATTTTAATGAAATCGATTTAGTTCGAGAGTATGAAAATCAAAACAAAGTCGATTTGCATCACCGGAGCTTAATTTGTTTTCAACTTTTAAATTCGACCTACTAGGTAACTAGACGGAAGAGTGGTCAACAGAGAAATTTTGTTACAGTAAACACTAAATGTGAATGACTGTAAGACAAACTTGGAAAACAAAAGTGAATTCTAATTTTTACGCAACATCATTTATTCAATAATATTTTTGTACAAATAGAATAATATTCAAAAAATTATCATATCATCTCCACCTATTTTATGTACGATAACGGTGGATCTCTTGCTGTTTTCAAATACAATATTTTGAATACACCTTTCAATTAACTGTTTTGACGAGTAGTCTTTTATTAAATAAAATCTCATTTCCACCTAAAAACAACTTCTTACCAGATAATCTGGAACAGCTTGCTGGACATGTCTCTGGTAAAGTTAAGAAAAAGGCGATACTTGAAGGTAATGTAAAACATGAAGTTTGAGAATAAATATTCATGATAACCTGGAAATGTGCTGATGTAAGTATATATTCTAAAAAGAATTGTGAGATATTGTTTTCTTTCTATCAATATATTTCATATGATATTTCACGCAAAAACATGGATAAATTGGGATCGAAGATTTTAAGATTGATGCCCATGCTCTTCCACAGTGATCTGGTAATTGTCTATGAAGTTTATGAAATGTATTTCCCTTTTGCCAATTGTTCAAATGTTTCTACCATTTTAGCAAGGCCAAGCACTCATTTGACAGATTGTCGTAGCGTCTTTCTCTGTACCAACTGGTCTCCCACAGATAGTATTTTAATATCTTCACGATAATCTTAAACACAATTAAGTAAATCCGGGTTATTTACGAAGTACATTGTACATTGTTTGCTGCAATGTCTATCTGTTGTGCGCTTCTTGTACTATTTTTATTTAAATCTCATGCGGGGAAAGGTGATTTATCTATTTTGGTTTTTATCGCAATCCATGTCATCATATTGCTGCACTATTCAAATTTTGACGTGTATTCCTAGTAGCGTGAATAACTTTCAAACAGTTTGGATTAGATTCACAATGTACTAACTATTACAATATCAATGGTGGTAAGTTGAGCCATCATGTCCGATATATTCTAACTTAATTTTTAACTTCCAATTATTCTTATCTTGTTAATAAATAATATCCTGCATGTTTAACATTTTTTTGTGCATATCTGATAGGACACAAGGGTATCTTCATGACTACTGAATTATTTGAGTCAGCTCGTCTTATACACTTAATAAATAAATTAGGATGCTAATTCAATGCAATCTGGAGTTTCTATAGCTTATCAAAATACACAGTGTTAAAAATACAGGGCAGTAGTTTTGTGCTACGAACGCGTGCATCCTCCGAAAAAGGTTTAAGACGATAATTAAAAAAAAAAATTAACGGGGACAATATTGAGGTTTGAGTCGTCATACCAACTCTAATTATTTCATTAACACTGAAACGCAAATGAAAATTCGACTATAAAAATTCTGTGGTGCCCCCTTTTTCTTGGTGTCCTCGTGCTAATTTTCTTTAATGATTTCAATGGCGGTGCCAACCCACGGGATTCAGTAAAATAAATATGGCTTGACTTGATTGTCACTGATGAATAAGTACTTTTTGACAATGTATGTAAAATATCTGTGGATATTCTTTTGTGGTTTTATCTCCTCCCCTGTATTATAGAAATATTTTTCTAATTTTATCTGTATATGTGATTTCCGAAAGTTCATGAATGGAGAATGCATTCAGAAAATTTTTTAATTTGGTTTGTCTAATTCATGTTTCCTATCATGCGATTTTAATGCAGATTATATTAGCTCGATAATATTTCATCAAATCACTTAATTTAAAAATCAAAGTTCGAAAAACGCACACTGTAATTTATGAAAATATTGAGTCATTTTATATGACTACTTCAAAGCATTTCCTGTCTTAAAAATTGGACATTGAACCACCTTGAATGTGTTTACTATTTCGTGTTTATAAGAGAGTATCCAAGACAAACATGTTTGCAACTGAAGCAACCGAGACAGTAGATCAGACTCACCCGATCCTAATCTCAACCTTGGTCCAACAAAATAATATTTAGGTTAAGGCCTAAGAGCTGATTCACCTAAACTGAGAAGTACACATACCCACTTCATAAGAAAACAACAAAATTGTCTTCGGTTTTATTGCTCATTTTTGCCATTTCTGAATACCGCAATATCAATTGACTTCTATTTTATTAAAGCAGTCATACAAAAAGCCAGAGTTCAACAGAAGGTTCACTACACCACATAAAATGAAAATGTTACTCATTTTCAATGTAGCTAGGTTTAAAACTAGTTTGCAAACAAAGAATTTAAAACATCTTTGAAAAGCAATCAGAGTAATCTAACCCTCATGTTTATTTTATTCGGATCAATGTTATTCTGAACCAAATAATTGCATGAAAAACGTCATTGACTTTCTACAAGCTTTTCATAATTGCAAACTTGAATTCTATTAATATTGTTAGTTTTGCAATGAAATTTAACAGCCGGATTAGAGTTTTATGATTGAAAATTTTTTTATTTTTTATTTATTATAATGACGAATACAATTATGTATTTAAATAGGTTTCTGGTAGTAACACATATTTTGTTTTTAAAATGTCATATATATTGTAAAAGAAAACAGCATTCTTGTAAACGGACGATGGCAAGAATTTTCCCGCAAAAGAAACTTGCCGAATTTCTCTACTAAACTCTTGGTTGAAGGCGAAGTTCATACAGATAAATTAATCAGCTTATAGGAAGCAAATAGCACCCCGATTACTTATTTTTGGGGATACATTTTTCATATATCCGGTCGAATTTGTAACATATGCAATGACGTTAGTATATTCTGGATTAGGGTTTATTTCCTGGAAATTGGTATAGGCTCTTGAACTGGGGAACGTTGTGTTTCGACTCTGTAGAATATTCAAAGATTTGTTTATTTACAGGAAACGACTTTTACTACCTGTATCATAAAACATTTAAAATTCATTTACGGCTATCCTTGCATAACTATGCAACCATAATATCAACTAATATATATATTTTTATAGGAATATTATCAACAGATTTTCGACAAAAGTGATTTCATTCGAAATAAGGAAAAAAGTTTGGCAAAACATTTTGGCGACAACACGCAGATCGGAATCAACTTCATATTTTCATGTCTTTATAGTTTATGCAGTAAAGTGCTCAAGATGGGTGCTCAGTGCTCAATTTATAGCATTTCTATATATGGAAAGCCCGAGCGACCAAAAATCTATTTTGTAAAACAGGGGTGTGCAACTTTTATTATATGAGGGACACATACAAGTAAATGAGTAAAGCAGCGGGCCGCACTTTTATTTAAGATAGCCCTTCTTTTTTCAGTCACAAAAAATTGTTTCTTTTTGATATTGATCTTACGTTATGTTAGGGGTGCTATTGCTATTCAATTTTATTGTTACATCTACTTTAAACGAATTCAGTGAAATCACGTTTTTATAACATCGTGTATTTTGCAACAGAATTTTTCCAGTTAGTTTTGCTAGAATGACAGTGACAATGGTATATGCTTTGCGACGCAAAGGGATTGGAATTGCTCGCACGTACCAGATCTTCTCCGCAGGCCGCACAATTTTTCCTTGAGGGCCGCATTTGGCCCGCGGGCCGCAGTTTGCACACCCCTGCTGTAAACTATAGATCTTGAAGCAATTTAGTATCAATTTTATTTGTTGACTCTTATTAGAAAGTAGAAACGATGATTAAAAGTATTTACCACAGGATCAATTTGCAATCCAATCCAAATGTAAACAGGAAAGTCTGAAGTGAGGCTGCGAATCGCGGCATTAGTTTTCTCATGTGTACGTGCATTATCAATTTGCCCGATACTTCCACCGTTCTTCTCACAAAATGAAGCACTCTGTTATTGAATAGTAAGAGTATTGTTTTAATACATACAATAAAATTCAATTAACCGCAGGAGCAACAACAACAGCAAAAAAAACGATAAAGTTAAAAAAATGAGATAAAATTGATATTGATGTATAGACCAGAGAAACGCAAGATATTTACATCGAAACATTCTTCGTTTTAAATTGACTTATTTTGATTATTCATCGTCAGCGATTATTAAATATTAATGACACGAAAGAGATGCTCGAATGTATGGACACGAAAGCCAAAACGAAGTAGTACGGGTATGCAATCTGTCGCAGTAGACTACCGATGCCGCAGTGTTCACGACTTCGCCTGACCACCAATTAACGAACGCAGTGCCGCCACAGGTTGCGCAATTTTTAATTTTGTTGACGTCATCACAAACAAACAACAAATCCCTTGGAGCCCACAGAAATTTTTGAAATATATAAAAGTAGTAGCCTTCTAACAAAAAATACAATATTTAACGCTGAAAATTTCAAAGCAATTTATCCAATATTTAATGAAAAAGGCGATTTTTGGTAACAATAGGAATAAGAATGAGAAAAAGAATTCTAATACTACCATAATAATAAAAATACCAAAACGATGCATAAGTACATTACGTGTCCAACATTATTTTACCTTGTTGTAGGTTATTAATGTTGGTCGATAGTAGAAAGCGAACATGCACGATCCGGTGTTATTGATCCATGATATGTTGGCTCCAGCGATAGAAACATTGTTGACTCTACTCTGACAATCTGTGAGAAATATCAGTCATACATAATGAAAAAGCTGTCAATTATGGGGCAATCGCATTAACAACAGTAACAATAATGAAATAGTCCGGGAGAATCCAATCATAGACTATAGCATAAAAAGTATGCAACAGTGATATTTTCGAACATGAGGTTTCACTGTTTATTTTATTTTTTTGCTTGTAGATTGCCCAATACCAAAAATTTTTGTATGCTTTACACACACAAAAAAATCTAAAAAAGGCAGTCTTTTTGTCATATAATGAAATAAAATATTCAAAAGTAGTTATTGATTGTTTTTTAGGTATGGAAATTTGAAACGCGTTAGTTACACGCAACTTTTTACCTGGTAGCATACTTGGGGCGGGAGTCGTTTCAGAAGGATTATTCTGGGTCGTTGGTTGATGATTGGTACTCCCCACAATTTGAGTAGTAAATTCTGAGTTGATATTCTGAGTTGTTGGTTGATGATTGGTACTCCCCACAATTTGAGTAGTTAATTCTGAGTTGATATTCTGAGTTGTTGGTTGATGGTTGGTACTCCCCACAATTTGAGTAGTTAATTCTAGGATGTTATTCTGACTTGTCGGTTGGGTATTGGCACTCCCTGCATTTTGCGTAGTAATTTCCGCAGCAGTACTGTTGGCGCTAGAAGTATTGTGTGTGGTGGTTTCAATACCACCACTTGCCTTGCTATTCTGCTGCATGTACACAGCAATGGCCACTCCAGCAACCACTCCGAGTAAAACAACAATTAATACGTTTGTGATTATCACCCAGAGATTCCTTCTTGCGCATGATCCTGAACATATATTGGAATTAGTTGCTTTGAACAAAGTATTCAATAATTAATTTATATAACAATTTCAAGAATAATTTCAAATAAGGTTTTTAACTCGAGTCCATTTTAATAATACGAAGTACCCGACGATAACAAAATTTCAAACCTGGTTTGTTGCCAAATTTTGTCTGGCATTGGTATATAGATAAGAAAGAAGAATGCGTTTTATTTCAAAAGTTGTAAAATCTCTACTATATTCTTGTTCTAATTGTACAGTGACTATACCAAACCGTATAGAAAGCTTTCCAGAAACTACCAGACAAAATATTTTCAGAAAGCTGCAACCATTACAAGCTCAACCAACAACATAAAAAGTAAATTACCTGGTTCACACATATCTTTTTGTGCAATTCAGCTTCTGTAAAACTTTTTCAATATTGCCAAACTGAGCAAGCTAACTAAAAATATCTAAACAAAAATAACATAGAAATATATCAAATAGTTTTAGTCCAACAAGACAACATGTGAATAAATAAATAATGTGACAATTAGGTATACGAGGTACATTAGGTATACGAGGTACATTAGGTATACGAGGTACATTAGGTATACGAGGTAAATTAGGTATACGAGGTACATTAGGTATACGAGGTACATTAGGTATACGAGGGGACCACATTTGACAATTAAATTTATTTCAATCCTTTTATATTTCTTATATTGTCGTTACATATTTTCTCGACAAACGAAATAATTTTTACTAATAAACAATAATCAGTTGGATTTCCCACTTACGGGAATGACACTTCAATTTTTAGCATTCATTATTTATAAAAAAAAATCTAATGGTTTATTACGTAGTGTAGTGCAGTGGTTCCCAACCTTTCTACCCTGGCGGACCAGTAAAATTAAAATAAAAGTACTCGCGGACCGGCAAAGAAATTGAAATGACCGGAACAGAAAAGAATAACATTTATTTGCGTAATATAATGCAATGCCGGGCACTCAATATGCTTCTAGACAAAAAAGGTACACTTAAAAACATTTCACACGAAGAAAAACTATTAAATAATGTGCCGGCCAAAAATTGAAATGGATGAAACATAATATAATATTATATATTTGCGTAATGAAATGCAGTGCTGGGCATCGATCCTGCGTAAAAAAAGGCCACGCGTAAAACATCTCACATAAAAAACATGTAAATGCCAAATAATGTACAAACTCTGGTGAGAATTTTGCTGCTGTTTCGTTTCCGATGCACGATTGCAAACGAGGCCTCAAAGAAGTTTCTGCAAAACGTAGCTCTGCAGCGGTGTGCAGCCGATTTCTTTGCTTCGTTTTAATTAAAGCTAGTGATGAAAATGTTTTTTCGCATAATGTAGTAACTGGTTGATAATACGAACAAGAGTTTGATTGCTCGATTACTTAGCGATGGGTATTCGTTATCAAGAGATATCCAAAATTATGACAGTGATTCTTTTTTAAATCTGAACTGTAAGGTAGAGTCACAATTTTAATCAAGAGGTTTCTTTTTCATCGGGTTTATCATATTAATCCCTCTGCAGTTGATCGATGCCTCAAACGGAATGAGTTTACAATACAATGACAAACTCGTCGCTACCAGGCTCAAAATACTGAAAAAGATCTCTGCGCCCATGCTGTTTTGCGCGTCTCGTGATCACCTGCAGGATCGCAACAAGTTCATATCATATTGGAATATTATACTGTCCTTGACTGTTTTCTGGTTTGAACAAAGAAATATGCATAACGTTTTATATGGATGATCATATTAATCACGATAAGCACGCGTGCCGTTTTCTAGGTTTCTGAACCTTGCGAGATTTGATGGAGCGCATTCGCGATGAATCGGAGAAGAAAAAGCGAAAAGTGTGATTACTCGGCGCCACGATGTCGCGAATGACGTCGCAATATGACGGCGGAAGAGAAATTGCGTAATTATCCAACGCAACCTACGGTAAAGGGATTGAGACGGCATAAAAACGAAATTTCTCGCGGACCGGCGGTTGGGAACTACTGGTGTAGTGGATAGTCAATATTTAAGTTATTAACCTGACATGTGATTATCGAATGCTAACAATTTTATTCCAATAATTGCTTTACCTGCTTACAAAATACAAATATCATTGATGAATGAAAGAAAGTCTCTTCTTACATGTTCAGCATCAACCACACGAAGTAATGTAAAAAATAACAACAAACCTTTTCTAGCTTTGATGTTAAATCTAATCGGAAGATGAAATAGTTTAAATAGTCATAAACATAATTCATTTCTAAAGCTTCCTCTGATTACAACTCAGTATATCTGTTCCGGTACACGGAACTCACCGATGCAAACTGCTTGAGGATCAACTATGACCTTGCTTGATTAACGAATGTTCAGTACAACATTGTGAACTTCGGACTTGACTTTTGATTTGATAAAAAAAAATAGACGCTTGAATCTGCGATAATAAAAATATTAGTTATAAGATGTCACAATATTTTTTTAAAACGTGGTATTTTATTATAACCACAAACCGTTAATTATTTTAGATTGTAGTTAGTTTTGTCATCGATATATTACATATCTTTCCGTCCTAAAGAGTAATTAGCAAACTTTGTGAGAATATTCGATATGCTATGAAAACACAACTTTTTATAATGGACGGAGGTTTTATGTTCCCGTCCAAATCTGAAAACATATAATAACAGCATGAAACGCGTGTTTGTGTGGCAAGTTTTTTTTTAGCTAAAACGGTGAAATAATTAAAAGAGAATGGAAAACATATTCAACTTTCGAATGTATGATATTGCGATAACTATTATCCTTACTTGATGCAACCCCATTTTATTCGGTTGGACATTTAACTAAATAATGGTGAGATGATCGAATATACAAATGATTTCATTTAGGTGTAACGAACGATTCTTAGAATCATAAATGTATAATCTTGAGGATAAGAATAATTAGAATTAATACAGATGAATACAATTGCAATGTATTCTTCATGTTTAAACCTGCTTTGAAGAGTCATAGTCCCTGGTTTATTATTTTTTAATGTAAAACACTCGCCCTCCAGTTGCAACAACGCAATTTGGTTCGTAGTGTCATGTGCTGACTTCACGACATTAAATTTGCTATCTGTAAAAAAAATTATAAATGCCTGGTGAGAATTTAAACATCAATAAGTAGTATAGATTTATATTTCGCTCATATAAACCCGGGTTCCGGGCTTAATTTTCGCTAATAAACAATATTTGGTGTCCCGTAGTATGTGAATCAAGATGGCGGATACCGGAACGTAGTAGGTGTACCAGGTTAGAGTTAGGCCATAATTTCAAATACTACGGGAGTCACCCGGCTAGTCCCCGAACTAAATAGAATAGAACTAAAATTGGAATAAAATTATGGCCCAACCTGGTACATATACTACGTTCCAGTGTCCGCCATCTTGGTTCACATACTATCGGAATACCCAATCGCCACATCTAACTTCAAACTATAACAGGCCTCAACTCGTATTTCTGTGTTAGAGACTAGACCAAGGTTGTCCAACCTTTTTGACCAAAGGGCCAAATTTAGTTTACGAATGATTGCGCGGGCCACTTGGCATGATTGTTATGTTCTAGTTTTCACTACACCGACTACAGATTAATGAAAAGACAAACAATACCTTCACACCAAAGTTATAAAAACAATGAAATTACAAAGATACAGTTAAGTCAAAAGTTTTTAACCACACATACATATTTCAATGTCAATTATGACACCGCTTTTATCCAACAAGTTTGACTGTCAGAAATTAGTGATCTCACGGGGGATTTGACGAGGTTCACCCGCAAAAAAACGTACTCGTACAAGTAGCCTAGAAGCTGTCAAATATTGAGGTAATAAAAACTGCCTCTTCTAGCTTCACAGAAAAAAGACAGAAGAACAGATTGAAATACATGGCAGACGATAAAAATAAATTCAAACATCTCTTTCCAGCAATGACGCTCACAAAGAGACATAAATACGCTTTTGATAGCTGGGTGGTGCTTCTCGCGTGTTTGAATGACGAGGAATATTTTTTTTATTAGAGGTTTTTAATAATGGCCCAGATTTGTGAAAGGCGTTTGGGATTCAAATAATACCGCGCGGGCCACTCGGAAAGCTTCGGCGGGCCACATGTGGCCCGCGGACCACGGGTTGGACGACCCTGGACTAGACTATAAACGAAAACTACTGATACATGCTTTGGCTTTACGCTAATTACTAGAAAACAAACGCCGCACAACAGCCATTGTAACGACTCAAATCCGCACGGAGATAATATTATGTTTATGAGCAGTTATCTATTCAAAGTGAGCTCGTTTCAGGGCCACAGCTTGCAGACTACTGTTCCAACACAACTACACTAATCCTATTCGCTCGCTTTGTTCATGGGCCGCATAATTCTTTACAGAGTGTGTACTGCACTTTATAAGAAACATTCACAAACATTCAGAGCTGATTAAAAAGAATTGCAAAATAAATTGAATGTTTGAAATATATGAAAAATAAGCTTTTATCTCTTTAATTTGAAATAAATAAATATATATAAATTTGAGTGTTTTTTTTTGAATTTTATTGATAAATTAATGCATGAGTACCACTCGAAAAAGGACTCGAGATGCAAATCACATATCTATTAATTCATCGTCAATTAACTCTACTTATCGACTTAGGAACGATGAATCATTTCGTCAATATTTTTACTGTAAAATTGAAAATTTTAAAGTTATTTAGGTGAATTTTCACAATAACTTTTTAATCTAGAACTGCACATTGTTTGAAAGTAGCCCTTCCGAGAAATTAATGGTATGAAACCGTCCTCCTCATATAAGCTTTTTCACATTTTGTGAGATGGCAAGTAACTTATTTACAGTAATGTCTTTCGGTATAACAACTATTTAAATTGAAGCCGTCAGTCGATCTTAACTTGTATCCATTTTCATATATATATGACATACATCATAGTGTAGTTATCAATTTTTTTGCAATAAAACTATAAAATAGAAAGAGAACACAACCATCTTCTATCATAAAATATACAGGGTGGTCGCTGGAGATATAGAAAATTTGTCAACAGCTATTTATTTTTACAAAAACTGACTTTCACGAGTTTTTATATAAGCACATGTTTTTTTACACCCATAGATGCTCGAAATGACGCCCATGCACTTTATAGCAGTAAAACCTAAAATGTATCAACCTAAAACAACCTAGAACCAAAAAGAAATAAAAACTATCGAAGAAGAAATGAGTAACCACGCTTTTTATTCGTGATCTCATCTGACCCTCAAATTTTCTGCTTTTCTAGCCACCATCCAATATATATTGAATCCAAATAAAACCATTTATTGTGTAATTCTTTCATAAATTAGTGAACTAATACATTTTTACAATAAGGTAGCAATAACAGAATAAAAATGTGCTTGCTAATGGGGTTGCGGTATAATCTTTTCGACACTTATGTTAAACAAAATATCGACCAAATTTAAAAGATTTGTAACCTATACTGAGACCGATCATTGCCGAAATAGATCCAAGATTTTTTTTTTTATCTGCGATTATATGCAAACACATCGTTCCATTAGAAGATTTTGTCAATTTTATTTTTTTAATAATTTACGTATTTTAAATTTGACTTAATTTTAGTTCCCGAAGTTCACGGAAATTTTTTACCCTGCCAAGTTGGTCGTGATGAAAAAGGCCATCACCATTTGAATCTGTCAGTTTTTATTTTGCAGTTTTTATTATTTTCTAGAAATTTCAAAAGGGTAATATGGTAAGCGAAGATTGCATGTTTGTTTCAATTACCCAGGCTATTGCCTAACATATAAACATTAAGCAAAATAAAAGTATCATTTGTATTAGACAACTGATTGCGTCGTGTTTCTTATTGAAGAAACAGTCTTAACAGCACGGGTCTGACACCTCCAACAAGGCATTACGGTATTTCTCCAATCAGGGAATGAAATAATCATAAATGTAAAGTCCGTAAATGAACCAATAGCGCGGAGTATTGCAGCTAACAAACCATCAGCGATCATTCCACTGACAATAAAAAGAGTTCCACTGAAAAAAACAAAGCCTAAAGTTGCAAATAAAGCACGTTGTAATACAGGAAGAATATTAATTGTATTTGCGTTATTCATAAATTTTACTTCTATTCGATGCTTATACAGTGGGTAGCTGAAAAGTAGTAATAATGATGTCTGAAGCAAAAGTACAACAACAAATATAGCAATCCAGGGTATCCCTGTAGAGGAAGTTTGTTCCATGACGGTGCATTTATAATTTACAAATTTGTACGTTTTGTGTGTCATTGCAAATGAAACTGCAATCCCAATATGAAATAGAGCAATCAAAAATATCGAAGTCTTGCTCGCAACACGAGTAAAAGCATTTGTCAAATTTGTCAGAACAGGATTGCTGTATAAAACTCGTTGCCTTAGCCAAAAGGAGAAATATATACCGAAGCTAACGAAATTTGCTACTATGCCTTTGGAGGCTTCAATAATGTAACAATGATCCGGCGTATCATAAAACTTAGTTGTCATTTCTTGTCCAAGAGAGATAGCACTCTCGATAAACGTCATCAGAGTCACAATAATTTTGGCAATTCTTGAAAGCTTCGCCAAACTCCCAGTACCATGGGTGTTTCCTGAACTTTGGCCCCCTTTTATCTCTTTCAAAATAAGAACCAGCAAGATATATGCAGTAATTGTTGCCACTCCTGATACCAAAATTATGTGAATTATCCAATAAATAACGACATGCCTTTGTTCCTCGGGGCTTTCAAAAGAAGAGTTTACCATATTATAAATTAACCTGGTTGAGTTTTCATATTGTTTCTCCATGTTGAACAAGGTAGATGGTAATTCCAGATGCCTGTTTATAGTTTGCTCGATTTGATTTTGTCTTGAATATCTTATGCTCTGATTTGAACATATTATTATCGTTAAAGAAAAACCCTGTATATTATTTATATTTCATTTGGAGTTCCATTCTTCCCATAATCGTCTTAGCACTGTACAAATATACAAACACCGTATCATTACAGTAAAAAAGAAAGAAATACACATCAATTTACGGATTAATATAATTATACATTCAATTGATAAGTCCTTTTGTATCAATGGTTCAATTGCTTGGAATGCAATCCCAGCAGCATAAAAAACTCGTCAATGAAACTGCCAAAATCAGTAATTTTAGACGGCGTTCAAAATTCAGCAAAACGCGGTTTGCGCATGCATATACTACTCCGTGTGCTTTCTCTAGCTTCCAGGCAAAACTGGGTTCAAAATCTTATAAACTATATCACGTAATGCTGATAATAATTGCATATCAACTTTCACGACCTATTTGGAATTTTCTAATATAAAAGTCAAAAGTTTTCTGGTTACTTTTTGAAATTGCACAATTTCTCCTCTTGAAAAGTGTAATTGCATGAAAATTATAAAACATCGTAATATAAACTAACACATTTGATGATTTATTCAAAGCATTCTATTACTTTCTAAACAATTGTCAAATTGCTTGATTATGATGTGCTATTCTATAAAAATAAAATAAACCTCAAGCGATTTTCGAGGATTGTACAAGGTATGGCGAATACTCATGATTATTGCATTCATTATTGTTATTGTTTTGATTTTTTTTGCACGAATTTGAAGATGTGTCATGTCAGCATTATTCAGAAACTGAATACAGCTTTTGAACAAAAGAAAATTCTGTGTCATAATGAAATAAACTTGGTAATAATCAATTAATTTGAGCCATGATTTTGGTTGTTTTGGCATGGTTACAAATACCACAAATACACCTCTTCGTGGAAAACACTTTGTATTACATTTCGAAAATAAGATGTTTGTGTAGTAAGCATCACTGGGGTCTATGGGCCCGGACCAGGCTAATGTTTATTATTTCAATGAAGTATCGTTTGAAAATTTTTTACACTCCAAATATATTCTTAATCTAGATGCCTAAAATTAAATATTGCATCTACTTTAGTGATCATTCGAAATGCTGTATAATTAATTGACAGGAATTGGCATTGCAGGAAAACTTGGCTTCAAGTCCTCTTTGAGTTGAGCTACTTTATAATGTTTATTGTATCACAAATGTTGAAAAGGATCAAGATAAAAATATTCATGTGGGGAAATTTACGCCGTTTCTTTTTGACCCTAATATATGATCACTCTGATGAAATTCGCGATAGTAAATATAATCATATTTTAGATTATAAACACTGACGAGTAATTGCCCTTGCAAAAAAATTTTTGGTATTTTATTTTTGTTTTTCTTGTGATGCAGCCTTTATGTTTTTACGTTGCGAAATTCTTTTTCCATACTATTGTTCACTATTACTTAGTGCATAAATCCAATTCTATTAATTACCTGACCCAACTATTGCTAGGGTATCTTAATTCTAGTTCGCAGTCTAGCATGTGAGTGTAAAAATATCCTCCTCGCCATCCTCTGGCCTCGGGATCGTGTGCCATTTTCTTATGATTCCACCTATGCTGTTTGCACGTGTCGAGTTACCGGAATTGTCCTAAATAAATGAACATTCCGAAATCTTGGGTCTTGTGATCTCGCAAAGTTTGTGAACAATCCTAGTACAACAACTGCGACGCTAGGCATGCTGACTAGAACTGTTGCCGTGGCCAAACTGGAAATCGCAAGTTAATGCTTGTCAACGGCTTTATATATAAAAAAGAATGATCAAATGTGTGGTTTCTCGAGCAAATATACGCCATTTTGATTTTGTTGCTCCTTCTTCGTAGCTCGGGTTTGGTTGGTAGGCCCATAGTAAGTTAAGTGTGTAGGTAAATATAAAAGTATGGTCTATATGTGAAATAAGCATTGTATTTATTACATTGCACAACTCGAATTTTACACCGATTCCTTGAGTTTTTTCAAAACCAGAAATGTTGAAGATATATATTGAGTTTCCAAAAGCCTCCGGGAAATGGTATGTATAGCAATTCTTCCAATAGGCAATCTCAAGTATGTGATTGTTTTGGCATAATTTTAAAGGACATCAACTCTGGTTATGATATCAGCTCAAACCTCAATTATCACGAATATTGATGTTCGGGATCTTCGCCATACCTCTGATTTGTGTGATCCCTATAACTTTTGCATTTGCGGTTTATATTGCTGTATAATAAAATATATGTCAATCAAATTGAATGAAAGAAACGTTGTTGAATGGAATAATATGCTTTATATATTCTAATATTATATCGCAATTTCAAAATGCAAGACATTGATGGAATGCACATTCATTTTGTGAGTTTCACCTCCTCTTGATTCGTGAACAGAACTTGGCCACAGGACAGAACTACGCCCGTTTCTAGTTCTGAACTGCTGGATACCATTGTCACAGTTTTGAATATTGCATTAAGAGGAATATCCTGACCTCAGTGACAAATCCATTAAATTAATGCTAAATCTTTGTACAACTTACTTATGTAAGAAAAAAAAAAGTTTTTTTATCGTTTCTCGTAAGAACCAAACAGAGAAATCGTGTGGAAGTCAACGCTCTACTTTGCCTTGCAGAAATTACATGGGAACCGCTTTTAAAACACGCATTATATCAAAAAGACAGCAGGGAATTTATCATTAAATTGGATGACTGCTTCTGAATTGCATACTTATGTCGCAATTACATTTGTTCAATTATGTTTTGTGTTTATGACATTCTTGGTTGATTTTAAATGTTTCCGTTCCGCAGAATTAGTTTTGAAATTTTATTGGTCCGAAAACTAAAAAATGTTGAGAACCACTGTTCTAAAGATACACAACCTAAGATTACTTTATTATTTTTTATATATTTCAGAGAAGTAATGTAATTTGTAATCTTGTTCGCGAGCAGCTACCGAATTAAACAACAAAATTATAGGTCAGTTCTACATTGTATTGATTTCCGTTTATCTGGGATTTTTCACGTTAAAACAATATTTTTTTATACTCTTCGTTTGGAATGTCGCTTGGGTATGTATTTTGTTGTGTCTGCTTTTGTTACAATAGATTGTTAACCACAAGGGTTAATATATGAAAATATATGCGTTGTTATAAGAGAAACAAGTTCTTCAATAGATATACATTTCCCAATTTTTAACTGAATGTCATTCAACATGGTTTAATTTTAATAAAAATTTGACATGATTAAATGAACGCACAACAAAAAATAATATTTTACTGAAATGCACGTTTAAATCACTTTAAGCCATATTTATGCTATTTTAGGATAAGTACATGGTGGTCGCTAGAAAAGCAGGAAATTTGAAAGTCAGATGAGATCATGTATAAAATGCGTGTTTACCCATTTCTTTTTCGATACGATTTTATTTCTTTTAAGGTCTAGGTTACTTTAGGTTGATGCATGTTTCTCATTTGAGAAACACTGAGTACCATTTAAAAGAAATGAGTCATTTTCTTGTTTATTTTCGTAACAATTACGAATCAAAAACAACTTAACAACGTAAGAATTGGAATTTATGCCGCCGCTCAGACACCTCTTTTGCTCAAACAGATATTCAAGCGCGTTATAAACATTGCCTCATTTTGGCAGTTTTACGTGTTATTGTCAGTTTTTGATTGAAAATTGATAGTTTTGAACACGTAAGCTAGTTGAGTTGTGAGCGACAACTTTCCAAAACACTCACAAAATAATCGTTTAAAAGTTTGCAATGATGAAGTATAGAGAGAATCTTTCAGGGGTGAGAAAAACATCCATATCTATAGCTTCTTCTTCAATTTCTGTTTTGAAACCCATATCACGGGAAAAGCAGGAAACCGCTTTTAGACTTTGACAGGAAGGTTATTTTTTTCAAAAGTGAACATCCGAATTGGGGATTGACAAGATGTCTAGCTGTGTTACAAAAAAAATTCTGGTTTTCCAGCGACCACCCTGTATATTACAAAAAAAATACAACCGCTAGAATAATTATTTCATGTAAAAAAGTACGACAAAATAATTTTTTTTTATTTGAATCCTTGACATCGTACGAATCTGGTTGGAAAATATTTCAATCCAACAGAATATCTGCATTTTCTGAAAACAAAATAGTGGAATTCGTTTACTCAGATAAATGTTAAAAATATTTTAACCCAAAGAACACTTTTAAATTTAACCTGCCCATAATTCATCATCACTCCGCTTTCTTCTGTTCCATAAAAAGTTTGGGTTTGCGCGTTCAAACGAAGTAAGTTTTCCTGATGTAAGTCTTGAAGCAATAAATGGAAAATAAAATATTCAAAATAATATTACTTTGTTTTATTCAACAAATATATCAAATGTCAAATAAAAACAAATATCTTTATATCAATAGCTGAATTTGTGGCGGTTGAATCTCAATACACGGTTTATAATTTTTGTTCAATTTCATGAAAATAGTATTTCTTCCATATCTAGATTTCCCACCTAATCTGATTGCATGAAACATCGGGCGTGTGCGCGTGTGATTTATTACGAAATGGTTTATAAATCTAAGTATATAAAACTGCAATAAAATTTCAATTTAATTCTTAAATTTTAAAATTTATATTTCATAAAAATGACTGTAATAATCAACAAATAAACTTTCGCCGGATAGTAAAAAAATCGGCAGTTTATTAAAAATAATTGACTTGAAACTTACGGTGTAGTATAGTGGTGTACTTCTTTGACTTCCACAACGTGAAAATCCAAATCGTCAGTCTCTGTAAGTAAAACGAAGTTTAATAAAATAAAATCGCGATTTGAATCTGAATAATTTGTCTTATTATATGCTACACATTCGACTTAATTTATGAGAATTTAAGTATTATTAGATCGCAGAAAATCAGGTGGCGCATCATGCTATGCGTTACGAATACGCTTGTCATCGCACCTATGATTACCCTGCGTGTGTTCGCAGGTTTGAAACCCATGGGGAGTAATCATGTGTGCTTCCAACACTATCAAATCCATGCATCTGAAACAAACAACGTTAATCAATGCCATACCGACTTGGATTGTTAACCAGACGAGAGGCCGTGGATCGAAATAAGGTTAATTCGTCTCACCGGCTTTCCTTCTCACCACGATGAATTTGAAAATCCTATCCTATTTATTCCGACATTAACGACCATCATAATAAATACATATATAATTTTTAAAAACTCACAAAATTACCTGTAGGTTCAGAGGGCGTTTCCAGACACGTTATTAGTTGTGTCATAATCAAGCTTAGTACGAAATGAACTAAAAACATCTTTCCGCAAATAATGTAATATGATTATACGAAAAATAGACCTGTTCAGTATAAAAAGAACACAGTTTTATCAAGGTCTCCCAATTTTCAGTATCGTCTTTTCCATAAAACTTATAAGATGATTATACGAAAAATAGGACTGTCCAATAAAAAAGGAGAACCGTATTATAAATACAGCACAGTATTATCAAGGTCTCACAATTTTGCGTTCAGATTCTTTGAAAAAATAATAAGACCGGTGTTTATTAATTTGGAGCAAATAGTATATAAATTTAAAAGTGAGAATACCGAGCGTGAAAACAACATATTTCGGGACCGATGCGAAAAGGTTCAAAAAATATATTTTTCTACTAATTCGTTTATTTATAAAAAAAAATTATCCAAGATTCGAACAAATTTGTTATTGACAATTTATGATTAACATTTAGTACAAAAATGATGAAGATATCGCCCTATTAAATTGTACTTAAATTTAACAAAATTTTATAAAAACTACTGTTTTTTTTTCAAACTATTATGTTTAGAGGTAATAATGTTAACAGATCTAGACTATGTTTTGCAGTATTCGTATTTGATTGTGCAATATCAATCGAAAGCCTGCGCTCCTCACCTAATCCTCACTACATAGCTCCTAAAACTTCAGACAGTTGTTTAATAAAGCTTTGCCAAGTGAAATACATTTACCTTTTAATTAATTTTAGTCGTACAAACAATCGATGCAAATTTTTTTTAAATGGCTATTGATATTGAATAACATTATTGGCCAATCGGCCACTTAAAAAGCTTAAATCTTATAATCCATCTGCAAATGACTCTATAAGTTCTGATTCAAATCAATGACATATGAAAGATCAACCTTTTAACCAAAATGGAGAATTTTACTGAGCCTCTGGTCACTTGAACAATTTATACTATTTTTTTACAAAGTATTACTTAATTCAAATTATTTGGATATCACTTCTAATTAATATTTCAATTTGAAATAAATATTGTTGAAAACATTTGTGAGGCTAATTAAACGCGATGGCGATGATTTTCATATACAAAATAAAATCAGTTTATTTCGTGGACGGGATATCAATATAACCACATTAGCCCATAGCGTTTAGCAGTAATTTTAGTAATTTTCAAAATATTCGCCAAACCTCTGCTGGTAACATTCGAGCTTCCTGAATTTTTACTTACTTTTTTTTTAGGAATGAGGAACAGC